GCATGCGCTCTCAATTGAACTTCCGAGACCGTTTCCGAAATCGGTCCGACAAATAACTGACGCGACGATTTAATGACTCTAAAGGGACTAGTTATTGTTTTGTTATTATTACGGCACGAGACAGGAAATCAGCTAATTAGACGGTAATTTACCCAGTGGTTTTATTAGCTTTCGTAATTATTATTTTTTTGTTTAGTTTGAGTTCTTTATCAAAAGGGAAACTGTTTCTTTATCGCCTTTGCCTATTGAAAGCATTTTGTGTTCGTTATTAAAAAAGTGGCTCAAAAAAAAAATGCCCTTTTTGACATACGGCCCATCTGAGCTCATGGACATCAGCATGCTACGAGCACAGCCAAGCCACTGCCTACTGCTGAGTATTCTCCGTAAGCCTCGTTTGAAGAGATATCATAGCGCTGGGGAAACTCCGTAGAACATAATACCGTAGAATAAAAACACCGTAGAGGGGTACTCATTCCAAAGTCGGATGATTCGTAGCAAAAAAGATCCCTGGAACACACTGTGGCTGAATGCAGTGGTTCTAGGTATGAATGTAGCTTACTCCGATGGTAGGCGGTGCGATGCTAAATACGAGATGATGGGTTTATCACAAACAATTACTTCCTCCAAACACCAACTTGCCTTTGCCCTCCAAATGACTCCGATACTGGACATTGTTCAAAATGTCGACCCCAAGTATCCCAATACTCATGAAATGACGACACCATGACAAAAGGGTCCTTCTTCGTAGTGAAAGCGCAAGCCTATGTCTTCAACGTATTAGCCTCACGCGGAGACTCGCCACAAAAGGCTCTCAACTTCAAACAAAAGTTTTGATCATCTCTCCTGCACCATCGGAGCAGTCTATGACGACTGTAATGCTCTGCCCACTCAAAAAGCAAATGATCCATTTACAAGGACACTCGGGGATCCCGTTACTTGGTAACTTCGACAAAAGTCCCGGTCCGACAGACCCGGTCAAAGGTGCGCGTTATATTAAAGATTCCAGCGAGAGCTGGGCCCTTGCGTAATGATCAGAATAGAATGCTATTCTTGGTATACCTATATTAGCGTAATTGTACGCATATCATTAAACGATCGTACGGTTCGAATTGTAGGGTTAGAAAGGAAGCCGTCATCTACACAAGTCAAGTTAATAGATAGACATTGACTTCGTTTCGTCTGTGTTATATAATAGTCGCACCGTGAGCCATGAACTCACGCTAATTTCGAATAAAAAAGACATCACGCCAACACAACACCTTTCAAAAACTCGCCAAGTGCGGTTTAACTTTAAATAGGGTAAATTGTCCGGTAATTGCCCACTCCAAATCCGGAAAATAGCAGTTTGTCTTAAATTTTTCTATTATTGTTTTTAATGCTATAGGTGACAAGCTCATCTACCTAGTTTGAAGTTGTTATCGATGTTCTTAGATTACGTTAATGTCGCAACCCGTCGGTAGACATGACTTCGAAGTCTTAGTTGCGTTACATTATAACTGCTATTTCACTATTAGCTTTTCAGCATTTTCCAGCTCAAATTAGAAAGAAGAGCGTTACTTTCATTTCAGATCCTCCCGATCCATTTTCGGTACTTTTAGGCACTTTAAGCACCGGACACTGTTCTCGTGGAATTCGGTCGACGTGCAGCTTAATCCACAGACACAACCCACTGAGTTTCTCATTGAATCTTCTCAGTGGGTCGCGATCCGGTGGTTTTTCGGCGATTAACTGCTCTTTTTAGGACAATGTTAGCAAATTCTTTAAGGCTGAGTCCTGTGAACTCGCGCACCAACCAAAAAAAAGCTAGAAAAGCCCCCTCAAGGCTACTGGCAGATAGGTAAGGAAAAATATAGAACGTAATTTAGCATGATTACGAACATTCTAAGTTGAGTTCATCTGTATTTAAAAATTCTTCCATATGTACAAATGTAGGTAATAAGGTCCCTCTAGACTTTAATAAATTTAATATAAAATAAACATACTTAAGTCACGAAATTTGAAGAGATATATTCTTTAGCCATTTGACTTAGGAAACCTAAAAACTATGATTAGTATTAAATACTACAAAATAAATCATGGACATTCAAAAAAGCTATCTAAATTTTCTTTTAATTACTTGTTGAAATTTGATTTTGAAATAGAATTGAATTTGAAACCCTAGTGTGTAAAAAAAATTCTTGTTAATAAATTGTATCATTGAATTATTTACTATAAGTTTGTCTCTGTAAATGATTTGACTTAACTGTCAAAATTTTTAAATTGAACATCGAGGGCGGGAAGGCTGGGCGTGGTGTTGTGACAGCCATAGCGGAAGGAACATATTAACAAAGGAATCCGTCCCTACAACGGAATGTTTAAATCGACTATGACATTGTACTGACAGTATCTTTTAAAATTTAATCAAACTACAACAACGAAACGAATGGAAAACACCGCAAAAAATAAGCACCCACAATTATAGAGCAACGGAAAATGGAAATGAACTGATAATTAGGCACACATTCCCTATCTGATTAATTTGGTTTTATTCTGCAATTCGCGTTGTATCTGTTGATGAGAACGCGTAATCATCTGTTGTGAGCTCAGGGCACGACCTGCAATTATACAACTGAAACAAACGCCACGGATTCGAGAACTGTGCTTAATTGTTGGACGCAGACCCGAGTTTGCTGCCAACGAGAATTTTTGTGACTCAGAGGGAGTGAGATCAGCGAACTTAGAACAAAATTTCATTTGTAAAATCCATAAATCCTGTAGATTTCTTTTTAATTATTGTTTTTTTATTTAGACGAGTAAATGAGTTCACGACCTACTTTACGTTAGTAGTTATCGGAGCCAAATACCATAGCGATAATGCCAATACCCACCCATCTTGGGACTTAAGGTCGAAATCTCAATTGTATTCTTTAGCTGTTTCTATGGAAATGTGAGGGAAGACCACTCGTCCTCCACTGAATCAAAATTGGGGTTAGCTTGATAAATTATGAGTGAATTTAAAAGTGCCAACGTAATGCAGTCTTAGGGTGCGTTCTCAAGCTCGAGCACCTGCTTCCGTTGGGAATCTCAACTGTCCGTAAAGGACGCAGCTCGACCATGAAAATCCGTTACGAAATACGTATCGCTATTTTACCATACTATAATAAGATAGTTGGGTCGCTTGGTCACATCAAATGTAGGATATCTACTATTGGATTGTATTTTTTTGTATATCTGTATTTAGTTATATTTTAACGAAATCCAGCAGTCATGTGATTTTTTTTTCATCTCATGCAGGATTGATGCTCAAACGTCTGTTAACATATCGTTAAATAGGTGTTATAAAAAGAGACATACACATTTTTCAGGTTTTTCTTAAAACATGATGTTTATATTTATTTGATAATTTTAATAAGTAGAATCTAATGCGTGCTCCACTTTCAAAAGGAGCATCTGCGATTTGTAAACACATAAAAAGCATAATAGTTAATCTGAGTGTTATTAATCTAGATAGAAGACAAAAGGATTATAATTGTGAAGCGTGTATATACATTTAAACGTGTACTTGTAAAAAATTTGCTCAAATTCTCAGTTTCTCGGTTTTTTTTTGTTCACACAGGTGAGTAGATTCTACGTACATAAAAATTCAATTTGGCTTATACATATACGTAATAAAAGTTCACTGTTATAAGTGCGAATACAATTTGCGGCTTTATGCAAATTATGGTTATGTAAGCGTTAGCAAGACAAACAGATTTATTTTATCATATATAAAAACTAAAATAAACAATATTAGCTCTCTAGTCTATAATTTGCCGTTCGATTTGTAGATCGGTTGGTACCTATTTCTTCATAGTGAATGCTCAAACTCTAATCTTTCAATGCAAATCCGCCTGAGAGTTTTCCTTCCACATCCTTTTCCACTAGTTCATCTTACATAGACAGAAGATTCCATTTCATTTTTGGCTCAGAGTATTAACATCTGTTGGATGGTATATCGCATTACCGCCAGATATTCGTTTTGTCGCTAATCAGCCGGCCATTCTGATGTTAAAAAGTACACAAACAATTAACATTAATGAAAATAAAATTAGATGCTAATCAACTAATGCTTACCCAACAAAAAATGTAAAGTAAACCGTGAATACTAAATTGGATTAGAGCCCGCACCATTTGACGCTAATTGACGGACTTGTGTTTTCTAATATACGCTGTTGTACATTAGTATACCATAATAATTGATCCGATTCGTACGTTACTTGTGAAATGCCCGGAAGAAAAAAAGGCTCTAAGCGTTAGTTACATGCCATGTGTAAATACGGGATCTGGTGATTATAGCCATAGACATACCAGACTTTTAGGGAATCGTTCTTGAAGTTGTAACTATAGCAATGTACTACAACAACACAGATCAATGTTAATCTAGTAAGCGCGTACTAGTTAGTCGTTTTAAGAAGTTTTATTTATTGCCTTTGTAGGCAGACGAGCATACGGCCCACCTGATGGTAAGTGGTTATCGTTGCAGATAGACGTCAGCAATGCCAGGGGCACATCCAAGTCACTGCCTAATCATTAATAATTAATCATTTATACTTATTATGCAATCCGTGATCTACTTCTACTAACTTCACGTGTTTTTTTTTTAATGCTTAGATGAGTGGACGAGCTCACAGCCCATCTGGTGTTAAGTGGTTACTGGAGCCCATGGACATCTACAACGTAAATGCGCCACCCACCTTGAGATATAAGTTCTAAGATCTCAGTAAGTTACAACGGCTGCCCCACCCTTCAAACCGAAACGCATTACTACTTCACGACAGAAATAGGCAGGGCGGTGGTACCATGCGCGGACTCACAAGAGGTCCTACCACCAGTAATTACGCAAATTATAATATTGCGGGTTTGATTTTTATTATATAATGTAGGTATTTCATTAGAAAAATTGGTACCCGCCTGCGTCTACGGTTTTTAAATGAATTATGCATTATGACGAACTACTACTACAACAGAACTTTTTCTTACAGTGTAAAATTGGATGCAGTCTTTGGCGTGGAGGCTTAGAAAAATCTTGCCAGAATGTTTGCGTGAGTTGCTTTATTTTTTTTTTCGTGCGTAGACCGCTTCGTAAATTGCACACTGATTAATTTTGAACTGACTCCAATATAGGTTGTCAATTCGACTGTTTTTATGTGAACCTCTGAACCTCGAAATTATTTGCTTGGTCAAATGATTTCAATTATTCTTTTTTATTTGAAAGCTGATGCCTCTCATTTGATCCCAGATAGGTATATTGTTGAAATTGGTTTTCTTTTTTGTTAAAATATTGTATGATTTCATTAATTTATTTATTTCAGAATGTTACATCTGAAACAGTATTCTCTCGAGAGCTTTACTGTGTTATGGGATGCAACGAAGCTCTCAACACGTATTTTCAACAATTGCGAGGTATTTCGTCGTAAATTTAATTATAAAATATAATGTTATAACATGAACGGATAATTAATTGTGTATTTTTTTTTAAAGATTTATATGGGACTCCTCATCCACCAGCTTTGGTGGCGGACAGCTTAACCGCTACATCGTTGTCATTAGTTTGGGAATCACGATGGGATTCGGAACTTGGAAATATAACGTACTTAGTGCAATGGCGATACGAAGAATTGCCGGGAACGTGGCAATATTTTTCGAATACCAGTCATTCGGATAAAACTATAATAACTGTCGACAATCTTAGACCGTACACCAAATATAGAGTAAGTTTCGATTGATTTTAACCAACTTGTGTTGTAATATATTTCATATCATCATATATAAATTCTAGCTGACCCGGCAAACGTTGTTTTGCCATATATAAGATTTCTAAGAAATTTAGAAAAAAAAAACTAACTTATTGTGTGTAAGGATGTGGTAAATGAGTGAAAGAGGCATGTAGCGCTGTGAACGATGAGGGAATATAAAAATAACAAAACCTCATTCAGCCACATAATGCTTCATTATAACAAATAAAAAAAAAATGGCCCAAAAAATGTTAGGGGTGGACAACCCTTATCACATAGGGGTATGAAAAATAGATAGTAGCTGATTCTCTGACCTACTGAGCATGCATATAAAATTTCATAAATACAGTCAAACCTGGATAAGTGAGAATTCAAGGGAGCATAATCTCATTCTCGCTTATAGAGGTTTCTCACTAACCCGAGTTTCTTCCTAATGCACCCTCTGAATTTCATTTCGCGATTTTCCAGATTCAAACGCATTCACTATTTTAACGTTATCACTTAATGACAGTACTTTAATTTTCCGTTTTGACATGATGCAGAACATATTTTTCCCTCGCAATTGATTAACGATAAACTGAATAAGTCCGATAAACAGGACGGTACACAGGGACACGTGTCCATTCGAAAAGAATGCGATAAAATAACAACGTTATTTAGTTCTATGAAATAGAATAGGTTCTATATTGACGAGAAAACAATACAAAAACAATGTTAAAAAGTTCCATGAAATTTAAGAATGGGTCATAAAATAGCAGATGTTAAATTTGTAATTTGTTTTGTCATTTGTTCCTCCTAAATAATATTATTATAAATAAATAAAGCTCGACTGTCGCTTATAGAGGTATAGATAAGTAGCAGTCTCACTTACGGAGGTCCATGAGGGAAAAAACGACTCTCGCTTACACAGGTTTCTGTCTCTCGCTAATAGAGGTTTTAGGAGCTAAAAATGACGGGTCCTGGCTATTACTCTCACTTATAGAGTTTTCTCACTTATCCAGTTCTCACTTACCCAGGTTTGACTGTATCGGTCAAACCGTTTCAGAGGAGCTTGGTAACTAACATTGTGACAGACGAATTTTATATATGTATAAGATATTCTTTTCGTTTCTAGTTTCGAATTGCAATATTCCTGTCTGGACACGTTGGTGCAGGTGAACCTTTATACTCTGCTCCGTCAGTAGTGATATCTACTTTAGAGAGTGGGAAACCAAGTTCAGCGCCAAAAGCTCTAAGAGCTGCAGCTCCAGACCCAAGCCGAGTGGCAATTTCGTGGGAGCCGGGACCATTTCCCAACGGACCACTGATTTCTTACGTTTTGAGGCTTACTGATACAGAACCTAGTACGACTGACGCGTTAGAGGTAAATAACCTTTTGTTGTTGTAGCCTTATATTGGATCATATCTTTTTGCATCATACACTAATATTTAATTACAATTTTATTACAGGACATGCCAGCATCGAACAACACTCTCTTCTACATGTTCCAGAACTTGGCTCCAGCTCGTGAATACGAGGTTTCGGTAGCTATGAGGAACGCTGTCGGCGAAGGTCCAAGAGCTTTTGTTAGAATTTCTACCCCACCTCTTCCAACGTGTAAGACTAAAACAAATTTGTTAGTCTGATAGTATTTTAATTAAGGCATAGTTATTTGAGTGATGTTTATTTTTAGCTGTTCCCAGTCAACAACTTATTTTGATTCTTGGTGGCGAGCATAATATACTAGCAGCTCCCGCCAACGATATGCTATCTGACCCCGTAGAGTTGTACAGTACAGAACATGTTATCACAGGTAATATTGTTTTAAAAAATATATTTTTAATAGATAATTTAGTTGAGCTGATATTCAGCAGCTATCGAAACCTATAGATATCACAATGTGAACGTTGAAAGCTAAGGTCAAAGCCTCAATTATATTGGAATAACAACAAGACTACACTTCGAATCGAAATTCATAATTGTTTTGCAGCCTAGATAACCTACAATACGATACCCACTGTACAGCTCAACACACTCTACCACTAGTGAGACCATAATAGAAATGGAAAAACGAAAAAATACATTACACACATTCATCGATTTTAATACAAAGACCTCTATGCTATTTGCGACCCTAAACGACTCACTAATTGTTACAAACCGGTCGACTCCCTCACTATTAACAACTTAAGTTGCACCTAAAGACCACCAAAATCGAACAACTCACTATGAAACACTCAGAGAGAACCAAAGCTATGTTTGAGTACACATAACGCCGAGTTAGCTACATATCGACTATAATAATTAAATAAATAATGCTTATTAGAAACGTAAAGAATAAAATTGTAATAGATTATTTCTTTCAGGTGTTGGAATCGATATCTCTAGCGACTCCTTATTTGTATCAGTATCGGACGGTTTTGTTTACAAAGGCTCTTTATCTAAAAAAAGTATTCCAGAGCCTATTCTTTTTTCAAAAAATATTGTAATGAAACCTTTAGATTTATCGGTGGACTGGTTGAATCGTCATCTGTACGTACTTGGAGAATCGTTGTATACTAAAGAGGAGTCTTCGAATGTTAGCTCACTGACCACTTGGGAAATAATACGTTGTGACTTCGACGGAAGCAATCCGGTTGTGGCCTTGACCGGATTTAATTCACGACCAATACATTTTGAAGTCGATGCCTATAACGGGTCAGTTTGAATTAAATTCGAATTTCGGAATAGCAATGAACGATCATGTAAATGAATAATACGAAAATTGTTTTAGGTATTTGTTTTGGGCCATGAGAGGTGTAGAACGTGGTGGATTATATCGATTAGACTTGGCTAGTATTTCTAACGGAGTACTACATTCTTCGGAAATGATAGTTCGAGACCCACATCTAGGAGCCTTTACTGTGGACCATGCCGACTTTAGAATATTAGTAGCACATCTCAAAAGGAACACTGTCCTGGCAGTATCTCTAGATGGGTATGAATATAGATTTTATAACAATCTTGTAAGTTACTAGCTGTACCTGTCCGCTTCGCTGGGCATTTAAAATTTACATTATTATTTCTCACCCCCACAAAGATTCTCATCGTTAACTGGTGAAGGGAGTCCAACACTCATATAAATATTAGCCTATCCATTAAATGTATTTTCTACATGGATACCAAGTTTCAAGTCAATCGGATACATGGTTGAGTAGTTATAACGGAACATCCGTAAAAACCACTGCAGATTTATATCTAATATATAAAATTCTCGTGTCACAGTTTTCGTTGCCATACTCCTCCGAAACGGCTTGACCGATTTTGATGAAATTTTTTGTGCTTATCCGGTATCTATGAGAATCGGCCAACATCTATTTTTCATCCCCCTAAATGTTAGGGGTAGTCCACCCCTAAATCTTTATTTTTATTTTTTAGACAAAATTTTTAATTTCTATTTTTTTATGATACAACATACAAAAATACATACAACCCTAAATTTTCATCCCTCTACGATCAACCCTTATTTTATATTTGCTAATTAAAAATTTTAAAATTTTTTGCGAGAATTTTGTTTTTATTTTGTCATGACGTAGAATAAAAAATTCATATTACTCTGAAATTTTCACCCCTCTACGATCAACCCCTATTTTTTATTTGTTAATTATAAACTTTATTTTTTTTGGCAAGATTTTTATTTTTATTTTGTCATAAATAAATAAAAAATCTGATGTTACTCTTAATTTTTCATCCCTCTATGATCAACCCCTATTTTTTATTTGTTAATTATAAACTTAAATTTTTTTGGCAAATTCTTTATTTTGTTTTGTATGACTTAAAATAAAAAAAATCATATTACTCTCAATTTTCACTCTTATACGATCAACCCCTATTTTTACATCCCGATTAATATTTTTTTTATTCTATGCACAGATCCGCAATAAGGTTGCAAGATGGCAATCAAATATTATAATTGTATGTAGTACGATAAATTCTTATTCAGAGTTTATAATTTCAAGTTCCTTTAATTATGTTTTTTTTAAATTGAATTTGATCTCCCGCCCTCGCCGGTCGACTACTGATCAACCATCAATCGATCAGTTATCCCCGCCAGGTGTCACCACTCATCCAGCAAACATCACGTAGTAGGGATGAGGACGAAGCCGGTCTCCTGTCTTACTTACTCACTATACATCATAGATTATACACTTAATATATTTGAGAGCTATACAATACTATACATTTTTAAAATAGTATGTTCAGTAGGTCTGAGAATCGGCTACTATCTATTTTTCATACCCCTAAGTGAAAAGGGTTGTCCACCCCAAACATTTATTTTTTATTTTAATTTTTTTGATATATTTTTTTGTTTATAATGAGGTATTATGTGGTTAAATGAGATTTTTTTTTCTACAGTAGAATTTCCCTAGAAATCTTATTTAAGGCAATACAACGTTTGCCGGGTCAGCTAGTATTAGTATAGATTCTTGAGCTCTTGAATAAAAGTATCGTTTTTCAGACGCGAAGTAACGGACTTTCGAAGCAATACCATAACACCAATGTTTCAATCAACGAGATCGATCGCGTACGCAGGTGGTTTATTTTACTGGACAAATGGCAAGGAAATGCTGACCGAGGAACATCACGCAAAAAGTGACAGCTATTTCCACAATGAGTACCCTCTAGCGTACAATACAAAAATTATCCAGACTACCCAAGTGCTGGTTGCTCTGAGGAGCTGTCAGCCTATACCGGTTCCAGTAAATCCACCACTCGGAGTGCAGGCGGTGATGGGTATTAATCGTGCAAAAATTTCTTGGTCATCTCCGCATTTATTGGGTCACCAGGGAAGCGGCGCGTGGCAGCAATGGACCTATCATTTACAACTGAAAAACAAACGGGACGGAGACATCATAGACATGTTCGTATTGTTAATAATTGTGTAATAGATATATAGTTATGATTGTATTTAAAATAACTTCTTAACAATGTGCTCTCATAAATCTATCTATTATAACCTATACCTATATTTATAGTGATTATGTGTAATAACCGGAAAATACGGAAAACATATATTATCGCGGACCGGATACCAAAACCCACAAATATAATGACTGAATGCTACCATTCATCATGAGACATTAGATCGTAGTCTCAATTACTTTAAAAACATGGCCCTAGCCGTCTAGGCTTAGAACATGCTCTACAATCAGTACTTATTACTGATATGAATAATTAATTACTGATATAATCTAACAACACCAAGTATGAATAAAAATATGTTTTACAGAAAAAANGGATACCAAAACCCACAAATATAATGACTGAATGCTACCATTCATCATGAGACATTAGATCGTAGTCTCAATTACTTTAAAAACATGGCCCTAGCCGTCTAGGCTTAGAACATGCTCTACAATCAGTACTTATTACTGATATGAATAATTAATTACTGATATAATCTAACAACACCAAGTATGAATAAAAATATGTTTTACAGAAAAAATACTGCTGAATCGATTCATATTGTGGAGAATCTGAAGCAAGACGCTGAATACGTCATCAGAGTAGCCGCAGTTACAGTCTCTGGTTCAGGTATAGATACGTTCTCAATGTCCTCCAATTGATCATTGGAACGCGTGCTTAAAACATAACATTTTTATAGGACCATGGTCTTCAGAATTTATTGGTAAAACATTACCCTCTTCACCGAGTACCCTTCACAGCACATTACTTTGGTCAGGACCAGATGGATTATCACAAGCTGATTTATCTGGAGAAAATATAGTGACCTTAATCCATAGGTGAGAATCGTTTTGCACTATCAGAATAATAATTAAAGATAATTACTTTGTAATCTTATTTAGTTTACACTTTATTCAATGATTAAAATTGAATTATTATACAGAGATGACATAAAGAGTTTCTACATAACCGCTATTTCATGGTATCGAGACAAACTTTATTTGGTGACCAATACTTCTACGGTTAAATGGTTCAACATTACGTCACACGAACACGGAATGATGGCGAATATGGACAATGTTGGAAGCTTGGCAGTAGACTGGGTTGGCAAGAAAATATACTGGTCAAACCCTAAACAACAACTGGTAAGAATTTATAACAACAGCAACAACACGCAATTGCATTTTTATTGATTTCAATCACTTCTTAATATCTGGTCCAATATTAAAAATTGCATGCAAGTGTGCTCAACTTAGTAAGTAATAAAATCTTAATATCAAAGATAGTTATTATACCGTTCACTTTTAGAACTTCTAAATGCGTTTTGTAAGATAGAAAAAAAAAAGTTACTTTAAAGTATAAACTATAAATAAAATTACAAGGCTAAAATTACTATTACATCTGGTTGTTCGAAACCTGATGTCTTCCATTTGAAGAAGAAGTGCCTTAAAACGAAGAGCTATAAGAAATTTCTTAATACTTTTATCAGATTACGAGGAGCAGCTTCGATGGCTCTAATCGAGAGCCAGTACCAATAGTTACAGTGGCAAAAGAGCTTACAATAGATTCCCTTGCCGCTTACATCTACTGGAATACTGGACATGCTGTAGAAGCAGCAAAACTGAACGGAGAAAATAAAATGGTTTACTATCCAGCTCAGTTGTTTAGTGGAAAACAAGGTACCGATACATTTTACAATCAGTATTGTTGCTATTGTGACAACAGATCTACACAAAGAAACGATTTCTGTGTTTTCAGTAATGGGCTTGACTGCTGACTTGGAAAATAAATGGCTATACTGGTTGGTTCGAAGCTATGATGGTTCTGAATTACATCGAGCCCGAACTGCTGATACGCTCTCTCACAGCGCTAATGAGGTACGCAATTCAAACAAATTAAATTGTATAAATAATTGTCATCGCCGCATGACTGCTCTTATATTTACTATTATGACCAAATCGCAAATTCTTTAAATAAAACGTTGCTAATAATTTTTCAACTTAGTTTGATTGATATTTTGCATAGAATTGTCGAAATGAAAACACATTGACTCGGGAGCTTCTCCGGTCACCGTCCTCGTCGAATCAGTCGCTAGCGACGAAGCGCTCGACGAGTGAATTAACCCATAGACACAGCCCACTGAGTTTCTCGCCGGATCTTCTCAGTGGGTCGCGTTTCCGATCCGATGGTAGATTCTGCGAAGTACTACTCTTACTAGGGCCTGTGTTGGCAACACTCCCAGTTTGAGACCCGCTAACTCACCTACACGTCAAGGAGAAACTAAAATAGCCTCTCAAGGCATGGGTAGGAAAAAAAGGGAGCTTCGACTTGGGAGCTACTTGTTTACTGCCTCTAAGATTAATATGTTTCTTTGATTTTGTTAACGACATTGTTCTTCTTCAAGGTGAAGATCTTCCACACCGAATGTTGTGTTTGCAACATTTCTAGAAAAACTAGAAATACTCGTACGCGTTATTCATCAATTTTCAATAGCGTACTTAATAAATACATAAATAAAAATAAATATTAAATTAAGAAACTAAATAATAGGGAGTCTGAACACTGATTTAGTGTATTAAAATTTATTATGGTATACTATGTTTGTTGCAGGTATCTGAGACATTGGTATCGCGTCTAGGAAGTACGGCTACGTTAGGTCCGCTATGTTACTTCAGCGGGCGGCTAGTGTGGGTACAAGATGCCGCTCGCGCAGTATTGTCCGACCTTTCAGGGAAATACACTGCCTCGCTAGTTCCTAGAGTTCGAGTTATTGCAGTACGAGATCCAACTCTACATGCACATAGTGGTAATTTGAAAATCACCTTACATTAATCAAATTAAAAAGTTTATACATACGTGTATTTTAATTTAAAAATTTTATAGAATTGATCGTAGCAATCCCAGAAACAATAAATTCATCCTCGATAACTGTGGAAGGCGCTTCGGACCGTTTCAATGTAACCTGGGCGCCAGCTCGCCGTGTCAATCTCAACAATACCAGAGTTTATTATGATGTCAGTCTACATTTTTTTGGTCAACACAACATTGAAGTAAGTAACTTAGAAACTACTTTTACAATAATAATTACAAGTAGCGGTTAATCCAAGATACATTGTTTAGATTGATATTAGTGTTTAGATAATAAATGAACTCAAGAAGCTCAAGGCACACCTTTTTGAGTGGTAATCGGCATCCGTAAACATGAAAACGTGAACGCCGCGCCGCCGCGTTGCCGTTACGTCGTGAAGTCGAATTTCGATTTTATTGTACAACGGTTGTCCGACACTACAAAACAGAATGCATAACAGCGTCACAGCAGGAATAGGCGGGATAGTGCTACCTCCCTTATGTGCTTACAATAGTTCCGGTAACAATCTCCTAATATATATATTTTTTTAATAGTACATATTTCAGTAAATTATTTCACACGTTTGAACATTTGGCAGAATCATTCAATATTTTAAGAAGCATGGTTATTATAATGATAATAACGACCATTGTATGTCTAATACCGGAAGCATATCATACCAAATTACACTTAAGATAATCTTATCCTAGCATACGGGGTACGATTGAACAGCCTAGAGTAAATATTTATTCATTGTCCCACCAGTAATTATCCCAGATAATTTCGTCCCGTAGATTTACCCTATTAAATATTGATCTTGGAAATATTTCCCACTTCATAGAAAGTATATTAAGAATTAATTCAATAGCTTCAAATCAACAAAAAAAAACGTGTTTAGATTTAGAAAATAACCATTTGATAAAAGATTTCATTTCTAATATTCGGACAGGCTTGAATTTAATTTTGAATACGTGTATGTTTAATAAGTACCTATATTACTTCTTTAAAGAAAACTGTGGAGACGCCATGGATCGAGGTGTTGGACATCGATGTGGCTCCGTACACCGCAGTAGAGGTTTCAGTGCGAGCTCACACACCCTGGGGGGGTGGCGGCACGGCGCGGACTCAGTTACGGACACCTCAAGCGCCACCGGCCGCGCCCACTGCACCCAGATTATACATTCAACCGAAAAATAAGTAAGTAAACTATTTATGTTGAATATTATTGTCATCATGAGCCGGACTGGGCTGGTTCCATGGTGTTTTCAAAATGAACCAGTCAGCGTTTGGTGATGCTATTCTCTTCATGATCATCATTGCCTTCCATAGTGTCAGTAATTAAGACTCACTTTTCCAATGAATTCCTTTTATTACATTTCCAGTGTACAACGTTAAAACCAGAGAGACAGAGAGACAGAGAGCTCCGCTCATTTCGGCTGCTCGGGTCTAAATGTTTATGTTTTGTGCGACAATATTCACTCGTATTTAGTGTGGAGTTAGCTGAGTCATGAATTCTCTTGAATACTGTTTTAAAAAGTTGCTTACATAGGTAACATTAAGGAAACAGTTAACTTTAACTTTTTTAGTTGACTAAATAGTGACGTTGCGCCAACATAATACAATTATATAACATATATATAATTGTAAAAACACTCTTTAGTTCTAAGAAAGCCCAGAAAATCGTTAACACGTAGATTGCAATTTTTGTGTTTTACAAATAAAGTACTAAGGTCGGGACGCGATGCGGTTTTTACTTTTGCGAAATTAATCAAAACGAAACGTGGTTTGTTACGATTTTTGTACATTTAAAGCTAAAACTATTTGTTAACAGCGGTGGTCGAAAAGTTGCCATATTTCGTTGGGAAGTTCCAAATCGTACCAATGGCATCATACGTGGCTACGAAGTGCAGTGTTGGAGTGATAATTCAAGACCGGCACCTTGCGCCAATGCTCTCTCACCTTCACCTACTCCAACCCGGACGCAGATTATTCTCAAAGATCTGTTGCCGGAGACTACTTACTACTTCCAGGTACCAAGTCAATAAAGTACACGCAAGAATTGAAATTAACAGGGATTTTCGTAGTAAATTTACATACCTACACGTTTTAACTTTTCTAACTTTTCTTCAAATTTGAAACCTTTATATCCTTAACTAGCGACCCGCCCTCGCTTCGCTTCGGAAACATTAAAACACACATGAAACCAAAAAAATAAAATATTTTTTTTTAAAAAAGGTAGCCTATGTTCATCAGGGACAATGTCGGCTTCTAATGGAAAAATAATTTTTCAAATCGGTCCAGTAGTTTCGGAGCCTATTCGAAACAAACAAACAAACAAATCTTTCCTCTTTATAATATTAGTATAGATACCTCAAGAAATGCATGAAACATGATTCCTTTAACAAAAGCATACATACTTAAAGTTTTAGTAGCTAATCCATTATTGTGAATGTTCATTTTGGGAAAGATTCAACTTTTCCGTTATGTAAATTTGAGAAATATTAAAAGGTGTATAATTTCCAGGTCCGAGCTTGCACAGACGCTGGCTACGGTCAATATTCAGAAGTAGTGTCTGGGACAACTAATGAAATTAACCCAGTGCCGAAGGTTATGATCTCCTCGCAAGATGCTATTAAGATCGTGGATCTTGATTCCAGTGAAAGCGAGATAATACCGAAAAGCACAGGGATTCCGGTTGACTTTGGAATATCTATAGAAGAAAGCTTAGTTTATTGGGTTAACAATTTAGAAGAAATTTTTTCGTCTAGAATAAATGGAAGTGGGCATTACAAGGTAAATATGTGAGAAAGATTCAATTGAATCATCCAAAATCGATAATATTTTAAATGCATAACTTCTTCTTCTTGCTTCGGTTTCCTCAATACTGAGGGTCGTGACCACCATAACATTTTTAACCAATTTAAGGCACCTTAATATTAAAAAAGTATGGTACTTTTTCAGTTAACATCTATAAATGGTTCAGCGACAAGTCTCTGTTTTGACTGGGTCAGTAGATCGGTTTACTGGACTCAGATGGAAGTCACTTCGCTAGAAGCATACGCTACTTATAGGGCTAGTCTCGGAATTCCAAATACACGACCGCAATTATCACGAATTTTTACAAGAAAACAACCGATGTACGGCTTACAAATTTTGCCTTTACAGCAGTAAGTTTCATCATTGTTATTCCTTCAAAGTTTGAAATCTAGTCTATCTAACCAAATTCTAATCAATTCTGTTCTTATCTTGTGTATTTTAGGTCTCTAATGTGGTATGAGGAAACGGGTCATCCTGGTTTGGGTACTTTAATGATATCCGATTTAATGGTTCTTGATATTCAATCATTTTTTAATAAATCGAATAACAAAACAAAAAGCGATTGTAACTGTCCGGAGAATCCACAAGTTGCGAAGACATTTGTAATAGATATGACCGAATACAATTACGAAGTGTACTGGATCGATCCCTGGGTCCATCGCATACTAGCAGCCGACATGAGTGGCTGCAAATGTAGATTAGTAGTCGATGCAACCGAAAAGAAAAAATATGGATTCACTCCGATGTCCATAGCGGTAGACAGCAAATATATTTACTGGTTCAACTCGACAGCGAAAGAAATTTTCTATACCAACAAAAATGTCAAGTCCGAAATTCATCACGTGAAAACGAGCTATGGCTATAAAATTATGACTTTAGACCCGGCTAATCAAAAGTATCCACCCCGACAATGTCTGATGCCAGAAATAAAAGAATTTAAGGCAAAGGTTTTGTCTCATGGAGCAAACTATATAATATTACAATTGCCTTCTGCTAACAAACCAAAACTATGTAAGACTTTAGAATTTCAAATGCCACTAACTGAATACACTGTTTATTATAAAATTTACAATATTAGAGAGAACACCGATTGTGATAAAGAATCGTGTTTTTTTACCACCACAACGAANCCAGAAATAAAAGAATTTAAGGCAAAGGTTTTGTCTCATGGAGCAAACTATATAATATTACAATTGCCTTCTGCTAACAAACCAAAACTATGTAAGACTTTAGAATTTCAAATGCCACTAACTGAATACACTGTTTATTATAAAATTTACAATATTAGAGAGAACACCGATTGTGATAAAGAATCGTGTTTTTTTACCACCACAACGAACACCGAGGCGATTCTAAATGAATTACAACCCTTTACAAACTATACTGTCACAGTGGAAGCGACTAATTACTACGCTAAACTTCATGAGGTCAAACCTCTTGTTGGAGCGACCTTAGTCTTGCAAACAGCAGCCGAAGGTAAATAAACCAAGAGATTTTCTTTTAATGCTTAGATGGGTGGACGAGCTCACAGCCCACCTGGTGTTAAGTGGTTACCGGAGCCCATAGAAATCTACAACGTAAATGCGCCACCCGCCTTGAGATATAAGTTCTAAGGTCTCAGTATAGTTACAATGGCTGCCCCACCCTTCAAACCGAAACGCATTACTGCTTCACGGCAGAAATAGGCAGGGCGGTGGTACCTACCCGTGCGAATTCACAAGAGGTTCTACCACCAGTAATTACGCAAATCATAATTTTGCGGGTATCATGAAATACAGTAAAACATTTTTTGTTTATTGTAAAAATACAAATGAATTCATGAACTTTGTCTTGCAGCACCCACGGCACCTAAATCCGTAAAGGGAACGGTTTTGAGTCCAGTGCTGGCCCAACTTGAATGGAAAACAGAGCCTGGACTGCGATATGAAGTACACTGGCGTACTGATGATTCAACTCAATCACACAAATTAAAAGGTAACGTTGATTTGGAAATATCAACAAAAGTATTGAGTACCTGATCATTTGGTCGCTAAGCTAACAGTTTAGGTATTAAGGCATTTTAGATGAAATCATTAATTGAAGTACTATTATGAGATAAACCATATTTTTTATTGCTTAGATGGGTGGACGATCTCACAGCCCACCTGGTGTTAAGTGGTTACTGGAGCCCGTAGACATCCACAACGTAAATGCGCCACCCACCTTGAGATATAAATTCTAAGGTATAGTTACAACGGCTGCCCCACCATTCAAACCGAAACGCATTACTGCTTCACGGCAGAAATGGGCAGGGTGGTGGAACCTACCAGCGCGGACTCTCAAGAGGTCCTACCACCATTAATAATCCATGATCCATGTCCATGATGAAATAAATATCAGTTATCAATTTTGACAGAACATAACACTTTCGAAGTTTGGGAAGGCGGAGTGGCCAATTTGACTCGTCTATCGGCGGGTACCTGGTACCGTGCGTGGGTGCGGGCGCGGTCTGCCCACAGCGCGGAGACTGCGGCTTCCGCGCCAATACGTTTGCGTACATACCCGCAACCCACGCCTCTCACACTCTTCTCCTCGCCCGAACCTTACTCGCTGCGGGTCTTGTGGCAACCACCAACTTCATATGTAGTGTATCGGTAAGTATCGCGTTTTATTTTCATAATTGTAGAAATTCAAGCAATTAGTTAGGAAACAAATAGTTTAAACAAAATTAGTGACGGTTTGTCGTGTTTTTTTGATGACCTTTGCTTTTATAGCATCGCGTCGCGACCTTAGTACTTTATTTATAAAACACAAAAATAGCAGTTTACGTGTTTACGATTTTCTGGGGTTTTATTAGAATCAAAGAATGTTTTTACAATTATATTTATGTAAGCGCCACGTCACTATTTAGTTAAGTAAAAATAGTTAAATTTAACTAATTAAGTTAACCTAATGTTACGGATAACAACTGTTTATGACTGTATTCAAGATAATTGATGACTCAGCTAATCCCACTTTCTACTATAAATACGAGTGACTACTATCGCACAAAACAATCCAACCCGTAGACACAGCCCACTGAGTTTCTCACCGGATCTTCTCAGTGGGTAGCGTTTCCGATCCGGTGGTAGATTCTGCGAAGCACTGCTCTTGCTAGGGCCAGTGTTAGCAACACCTCCGGTTTGATCCCCGAGAGCTCACTTTTTACTGGTGGTAGGACCTCTTGTGAGTCCGCACGGGTAGGTACCATCACCCCGCCTATTTCTGCCGTGAAGCAGTAATGAGTTTCGGTTTGAAGGGTGGGGCAGCCCTTGTAACTATACTGAGACCTTAGAACTTATATCTCAAGGTGGGTGGCGCATTTACGTTGTAGATGTCTATGGGCTCCAGTAACCACTTAACACCAGGTGGGCTGTGAGCTCGTCCACCCATCTAAACAATAAAAAATATATAAAAAAAACACGCTAGGGTAACGCTGATATAGCCTCTCAAGGCTATCAGCATAGGTATGGAAGAAAAAAGATTTTAATAAAATTTCTGTTTATCGTAACAGATTTAAGGTGGAATATACGGAAGCTGCACCTGCAAATGGTAGCTGGAAAGAATGCGACCGTGACGGTTCCGATAAATGGATTGCGAAGGAGCTGAGACCGCGAACCCGCTATCGGTTTCGTCTGTGCTTACAGTACATAGCGAATGCACCGCCGTATTTCTGGCCCATTGACGATCAATTCGTTTTCGAAACTTCAGGTACAGCTTTTATGGTTGATTAAGATTAAGATCTCGTTTCTTTTAAGCATTATGAACATAGTGCTTTGGGCTAAAAATTGTTTGAATGTTACAATGATAGAAATATAATATCATTGGTAAGTGTGATGGCGTCTACGCGCCTCTATCGATTAGGCACTATACCGCGATCGTGCTGCAATCTCTCGGGAATCGTGCTGCGTTCCTTTTAGCTACCAAACTAATAACCGTCTCCGACAAGCTAAATCGTACAAGTAGTACCTAAATCTAATCTGGATTTCAATCTAAATGGTATATGCACTCAGCAAGACCGTATTAATGTACAGAGACATAAAATTACAAATTACCAATAAAAATTAAAAATATAAATAAAAATACAAATTCCAGGGAAAAAAACAAAACAAAAAAAACGGTATCCACATAAGTAGACGACAATACAACCAACACAAACATAAAATTAATAACTAGCCATTGTTAAATAGCATATTCTTCACACATCTGAGAAATCCCCTGAGTTCCCCCTAGGTTTAAAGATATCAAGGTTACCGTGACATTTAGCCAAATCATTATACAGCCTGACCATTCTTACCATAGGGTTATAGTATGATTTATGATTTTTATATGTCCGTAACGCAAAGAGGTTTACAAAATTCGAATTTCGGGCTCTGAAGGGGGTGTTGATAGAAATTTTTGACAGAGCCCTGGTCGCCGTCCTCGCCGAAACTGTCGCTTGTGACGAAGGGCTCGACGAGTAAATTAACCCATAGACACAGCCCACTGAGTTTCTCGCTGAATCTTCTCAGTGGGTCGCGTCTCCGATCCGGTGATAGATTCTGCAAAGTACTGCTCTTGCTAGGGCCAGCGTTAGCAACGCTCCCGGTTTGAGCCCCGTGAGCTCACCTACACGCCAGGGAGCTGAAATAGACTCTCAAGGCTATCAGCATAGGTAGGGAAAAAAATTGAGTGAAGATTTGATTTTACACAGGTGATGTGCCGAGCGCGCCAGGAGCAATGCGGGTAGAGAGTGTGGGAGAGCGCGTTGTCCGTGTCTGGTGGGCCGAGCCAGACCCGCGCGGCGCCCCCATCCTCGACTACAGGGTCTGGGGACGACCCCCTCATCGGTACGCCATTACTGTCTCTTGTACTCTCTAGATCAGTTTTTCCCAAAGTGAACATATAATGTAGCTACGTCAACAAAAAAATTATGTTATTTATTTATGTTATTTATATTATTTTGTTTATTATTATTTTATTGTGTTATTTTGTTATTATTATGTTATTTATGTTATTATATATATATTATTACAAATTTATGTTATGAAACGTAAGCAACGTCTTAGCGAGTGGATCCTGTTCGCCAATTTATACTATTTTCTAGTCTTCTATACCATCTATGACACAATATCACTTTTACTGTAACGACTTATTATTTTCTCATTTGGCACACGAGAATAGAATTGATAAACCCTCCCAACCACATATGTAACGAATTCCTTTTTGAGAGCGAATTTGAAAACAAACTAATAAATAATTTGAAGTGAACAAGTGAACCATATGATAACGCATTTTTTTTCTCTTGATTTTAACCGTTAAATGAAAACATCCTTATCACTACATAGTATAAAACAAAGTCGCTTTCTCTGTCCCTATATCTGTCTCTATGTATGCTTAAATCTTTAAAACTGCCCAACGAATTTTGATGCGGTTTTTTTTAATAGATAGAGTGATTGAAGAGGAAGGTTTTTGTGTAATAACATATGTATAATAACATCCATTAAATAGTGGAGAAATCAATATTAAATTACAGTTTCAGAGAGCGAAGCGAGGGCAAGTCGCTAGTATTTATATAAATCTAAGTCTGAAACTACTAACTTATAATTTTGAAAAAGTAAATAAAGGACCTGTCCAAGCTTACAGGAAACCCTAAACGAAAATCCTCTAACTCTAAAGAGTTCACGGAAAACGTCATGGCATAAAACCTAGTTAACAGCAGTTCGTTTCGCACTTCATCTGAATGTCATAACATTGCACATATAAAAGCTTGAAACATATTATTATGTAATCTACAAATAAAGCAAATTTATAATATCTGCTGGAAAATTGAAGTTAATATTCGCATACTTATTTTTAGACAAAAATATTGTTACATTTTCAGTGTACCCATTAACAGCGACAATATTACAAGCAACGTTAGCGATCTTCTCCCTAAAAATCTACCTGATGACGTCGATGACGATATGAAATTGCGTATTGTTCGCGAGGGTCTTGAACTGCTTCATCAAGGAAACGGTGAGTCCGCTGAAGTATGTAGATATGCTAAAATTCCAATTCACGAATACCCTATACAAGGTGCAAAGCCAAATGGCATGTAATATGTAAAAAAAAAACAGTTTTAATAGGGCGGACAAAGTGTAAGCGTAATTTGAAACTTAGGCAGGCTGCACACGGCAGATAAACCCTGAAACGTTTTTTCTGGTCTACCACTTGCGAAAGCTTAGATGCATCGAAAACACTTTGTTTTTGTTATATCGTTACTTTGTTTTATTTAACAGGATTCGTGTATCTAGACTTTTCCAAACTAATCTACCTACTAAAGGGTTTTCTTACGAAAATAATTTGGGTTTAAAATCAGAAGCCAAGCTAAAGATTTTTTGTCTTTTTCAAATTAGAATTAGATTCTAACATATTTGCATCGACGAGATGTAAGTTCCATTTGGAATTATTGAATCTCAAAAATTAAGATGGATACGTATTTTTAGTGGTTTTAATGTGTTTTTTTTTATTACGTTCGTAGTCGTAATTCGACTAGGTATGATTAAATAAAATTATAAGTTTGTGATGATATAATATTGATTCTATTATCAGAGACTATTGTACTCATACTTCTATAATCATAGATTTCGCCAAGACTACACTTTAGACAGATATAATAAGATATAATAAAAACAAACAATATTTAATCTATTCCCAATTTGTCCACAGACTATAAGCAATAAGGAAAGTTTGATAATAAACAAATAGTATGCATGCATGTGTGCGTCAAATACATGATAGTGTGTGTAATGTTTTTTTATTGATTTAATGTACTTTTTATCCAAAATTAAAAAAAAATCGTAACATTCTGCACTCCATCTCTATATTCTCTATAAGTGTGGGAAATTTCATACTCCGCCGTCCGCGCAATTTTCGTAAAAAGGGGCACAAAGTTTGTGCTTGACGTATTAATATATAGATAATTGTTTTAGAGACGTACTGGTTGATTGGTAACGGCGAAGTGGCGGGCGGCTACGTGGCGCGCGTGCAGGCCCGCAACGTGCACGGCTGGGGGCCGCTGTCGGCGCCGCGTGCGCTCCGAGCCCCCGCCCCCCGCGCCGCTCGACCTTCTCCCCTCACCCTCGTGCTCGCCCTCGTCGCTCTGATCACACTCGCCTTCGCTTTTGCTGCTGCGCTCTTTTATGGTGAGCATTCGTCTTTAATTTATATGTATATTTAACTGGTGGTAAAACCTCTTGTGAGTCCGCACGGGTAGATACCACCACCCCGCCTAGTTCTGCCGTGAAGCAGTTTTGGTGTGAAGGATGGGGTAGCCGTTGTAACTATACTGAGACCTTAGAACTTATATCTCAGGTGGGTGGCGCATTTCCGTTGTAGATGTTTATGGGCTCCAGTAACTACTTAACACCAGGTGGGCTGTGAGCTCGTCTACCCATCCAAACAATAAAAAAATATTAAAAAAATCAAACACGTTGTAATTTTTGTAATCCGTAATGAAAGCTCATTAGAGCGATTAATGGTTCAAGGAAGAATAAGACAGTCAACGCTCTCGCGGCCGGTCACCCGCAAGGTGGATTGCTTGATTAAGTCATCTACTAAGTGTTTCCTTACTGAATGTACACGAACCGCCACAAATAGAGAGAGATGGAGAGGCTTCGCAAAAGCCGCAACCGATAGCGATAAGACATACATAACCACGACCACTCCGCCAGGAGTGTACGACTGAGAAGAAAAATTTAATAATAAAAAATACCAAAACTGTTGGAATAAGTAATAAATATTACATGGAGCTTTGCTCGGTTTTTTTTTTGATAACGCCATCTTGATTAGCTTCCCTCAATTAAGAAAAATAGTATTATTATTCGCCAATAGATGTCGGGAAGAGTTGATTATTGAAAACACGAATAAAACAACATTTTCTGAAAATAAATCGTAGCTAGATCGATTTATCGCCCCCAAAATCCCCTGTATACTAAGTTTTATGAAAATCGTTGGAGCCGTTTCCGAGATTCAGATTACCTATATATATTATATTAATATACAAGAATTGCTCGCTTAAAGGTATAAGATACTTACAATAAAACAAAATTAACTTTGGCTACGCCTGTGTTTTTTTATTTAAATCATAATGTTTCAAAATAGTGAATTAAATGAATGTTTTCTGAAATTAATTATTTTACACAAAAGACGAACACAGTAATATTATTGCAGTCAATCAGTCAGAAATGTTTATTTCTACTGGTAAAACTTAATGCGCGTTAGGCATTTAAATGATCATATTCGATAATAGTAATTGATTTAGGCACATATGGACATAAAATGTCTTTTAATTACTTTTTTTACTTTTCTTCATAATTGCATGTTTACCAAAAATATTCCGATTGTTTGTTGTTTTAATATGCAAAAACAAAACCATGATCACTACTTCTACCTTCTGTAATTAATTCAAATAATGAAACTTCAGGATACAACAATCGAAACAAAAAGAAAACAGCCATAGCGAACCAAAACCAAACAGTGACGCTTAGAAGAGGTCCTGACGTGGAGCTGGCGACATTAAGACACGAATTACCTATCAGACATTCCACTAACATACTTTATAATCAGGTAAAGTCCGCATCGAGAACTCAGTTTTTTAATCTTATAATTAATTGTTTTGCAAAGTTGGCAATGAAGTACCTATTTGTTTTTCCCATTAATTTTGCATACTCAGTGTTTCATGTACTCCAACAGGGTGTTCATTGTCCAACCGACGCCGAACTAGCGAGTCTGCCTCACATACGACGCGAACAGATAACACTATCGAAATTCTTGGGCTCCGGTGCGTTTGGCGAAGTTTTTGAAGGCGTTGCTAGACAGATCAATGGAAGTACTGTCGATACTAAGGTGGCTGTTAAAGTAAGTACATTTGCTTCGGAAGTAATAATAAAATAAAAAATTGGACATTGGTAGTCTTGATGATGTTCGAGGCACAGCGAGGAGCGGGGACCTGGAGTTAGGACCAATCCATCAATCAATAAGTATTTACAATCGGCATCAGTGCGCCATTTCGAGAAAGCGGCACGACACGAAAACCCTCTTGTCATGGCCGCCGGAAATTACATACCCGATAATGTGGACCGAATGATAAATATTCGTCGTCCCACTAAACACGTAATTTCGGCTCCTCCGGATCCACTAACGGTGCTTTTAGGTACGTCAAGCACCGATCGCCGTTTTCGTCGAAGGCGTCGCTTGCGACGAAGGGTTCGGCGAGTAAATTCACCCATAGACACAGCCCACTGACTTTCTCGCCGGATGTTCTCAGTGGTAGATTCTGTGAAGCACGGCTCTTGCTAGAACCAATGTTAGCAACGTCCTCCGGATAAAACCCCGTGAGCTCACCTACTCGTTATGCGATTCTAGAATAACCCCTCGAGATTACTAGAATAGGTAGGAAAAAACCATAAAAAGAGGAGCGGTTCGGATGTGCTATTGGCATGATTACCATCACTCACCATGTTAGGCCCTATGCTCAGAATAATACTCGGCTAGAAGAAATTTCTAATAGCCGTAAATGCCAAAGCAAGCTTTAGCTTTAGTGCTTAAATCAAAAATCAATATTTCAATAATATTAAAAGCCTGACACTGACCAGTGAAAGCTCGCTCCTCCTCCTCCTCGCGTCGTTTCCTCACTGCTGAGGGTCGTGACCATTATAATTCGACATGATTTTAATCCTTGTGATGTCCCGCCAGCGCCTCCGATCATTGGCCGCATGAAGGGCGTCGTGGAATGGGATCTCTAGTGTGGTGCGGATTTGGTCGAACCACCTTGTCGGACTGCGCCCGCGCGGTCTCTTTCCATCCATCTAAATTGCGGCCTTTAAAAAACCGCTGTCAAACTTTTATGAGTGAAAACAAATAGTCAAAGCTACCTCTTAGTTTTATGCGACTGACAAGCTAATTTTAATTTTTAGACGTTAAGAAAAGGAGCTTCGGAACAAGAAAAGACAGAATTCCTAAAAGAGGCGGCTCTAATGTCAAACTTTAAACACGAACATATACTACGACTTCTAGGTGTCTGTCTCGACAATGATCCAAACTACATCATAATGGAATTAATGGAGGGCGGTGACCTTCTCAGCTACTTGAGAGCTAAACGAGAATTTTTGGTAAGTATACTGCATATATCCTATAGGGAAATTTGCCATTTGCTTTTAAAAGACACATGATTAACCTCCACGATTTCCTGATAGGGGCCTAAGGATAATTTTTACAAATCTAGAATAACATAAGTTAAAATATACATTATTGGAATTTTCAAAACGATTTTAATTAAATGCTTTGCAATTTTTTTACTACAATACTAGAACTATATATTCTTCTGAAACTTGACATTACATAAAATAAAAATACATTTATATTTTCGCAGTAAATGTGGTAGGGTGTATATTTATCTAATGCAAAATTTCGCAAGAAACTTTAATTAGAGCACACACGGACTAGACAGTATTGTGGTACATACAGTCAGGGCTCTTTCTGCAGCACAGTTTGAAGAGTTGGACAGCTGTTAAGGCTCTGAACTTGAGTCTTCAATCTCTTAACTCAATGACAGTTTCCACATTTACGTTCTATGCACTAAGGTAACCATTGAAGCCAGGTCTGCTGTGAGATATTCTGTCGATCAACGATAATAAAAAAACAGGACAAAGTGGCCATACAATACCCGTCCAAGCGCGACAACAAAATTATAACAGTTCTCACGTTGTTTGCAGTCGACGCCGGATTCTCTGACACTCCTGGATTTACTGAACATGTGCGTCGACGTAACAAAAGGCTGTCGTTATCTAGAAGAGATGCATTTTGTTCACCGAGACCTCGCTTGCCGGAATTGTTTAGTCGCCCACCGCGCTAACGGGAGGGTAGTCAAGATTGGGGACTTCGGTCTTGCCAGAGATATTTACAAAAACGACTATTATAGGAAAGAGGGAGAAGGTGAGTTAGTAAATTATGATTAAAAAAGGTTTCAATGAAGTACGTAAAAAATGACGAAGGAACATTACTTATCTGCTTAGTGTTGTTTATTTGTATATGCTTTATTATTTCCATACTGTTGATTTATTATGCGTACGTAAGTATATTGGTATGTAAGTATATTGGTATATAAATCATATAGAGATTTCATATTATGTGTAAACGGTATTTATGTATTTCTTGTATGTATTTATTTACTTTAATAATGTATATATATAACCTCACGTGTATAAATACGACTTGTATATTTTACGAATTCCAGGTTTGTTACCGGTTCGATGGATGGCAGTTGAATGCCTCGTGGATGGAGTTTTTTCGTGTCAATCTGACGTGTGGGCGTGGGGTGTGCTCTGTTGGGAGGTAATAATAATTTCAACTTGCATTCATAATTATAAATCTCATTTTCATCTTCATTAGAACCAATTAGTTTTACATGTCCAATTAGCCCACTGAGTTTCTCGCCGGATCTTCTCAGTGGATCGCGATTCCGATCCGGTGGTAGATTCTGCGAAGCACGGTTCTTGCTAGCACTAGTGTTAGAAAATTTTCTCAGGTTGAGCCCACGAGCTCACCTACCCGTCCGGATGTAGCTGGTATAGTCTCTTAGGCTACCAGCGATCAGGAACGGAAAAAAAATCAAATTTGAAAATCTGAATTCATAGATATTCAACAATGTGTTTCCAATATCGGTAATTAGTAGGTTTCTTGAGCGCAGCATTTACGACTGATTTGAAATTTCAATTTCTAGATATTATCATTGGGACAGCAGCCATATCCCGCGTGTACGAACCGTGAAGTGCTCGGATACGTGAGAGCGGGAGGAACACCTGACCGCCCACCGAACTGCAGTCCAGCTTTGTAAGTTAATTTACATCTATGAATCTATCATTCTTTTTGCCAATGTGAAGGTTGTGGTTATGGTATTGTGGTTATGTGTATTATTCAATTTTCCTTTTTTTTAAAGATTTTATGACCTGGTTGGTATCTAAGATCAATTCTTATTTTAATTTATATTTTTATTTTATGAAAAATTATAATATGGGGTGAAATGAAATGAAGATGATTAATTTGAGACATTAATCAACTGGGATGAAATTAAATGAAATAGGATGAGATGATATGAAATGAGATAAGATGATATGGGATGAACTATAATCTCAGTAAAATGGTGGTCATTTACTGAGATTTTATCAGTGGACTTTCAGAAGATCCCGAGAAGTTACGTCCAGCTGCTTTGTTTCATTTTCCCACATTTGAGCACTTTCACAGATACTAAGCAGTTAATAAACCACCGTTATTACAAATTTAAACCTGAAGAAACACAAAATAGACAAAATAAAACAAATCACACAACTTCACTCCTCGCGTTCTCGCCAAAAAGTCCCCATTAAATATTGCAAACTCAGTTAAAACCTACAAGTACTATGTGTTAAGATATTTTTTTATCTTGGTAAATGAAAACCGAAGCAACACCAGGTGTGTCTACAGTAATAAATAAGACAAGGTATATTCACTCACTTGTGATTTCACGTATTAACAGACCTACAAACTAACTGCTAGTTTGCAAACCAGAGCGACACAAGCTCTGCAAGTAGACATTATTTTTAGTTAGATATTCAACGGCGGTGAAACCGCGGAACATATCAAATAGATCGAAACAATTGTAAATAATGTGAAGATTATCCAAAAACGACCTTTTTACGTCGAATAATCAAATTATACGGATATCCGGCCGAAACACGACGCTCAGCGATGTCCTCGTCGCAGTCACAGTGGTGACATTTGACAGACGAGATTCAGTCATCTCTAGTATAAATTCGTTTTCTATGCCATAATGTCGAAGTTTAGAAAGAAGAGAAGAGTCAACATTTTAAACTTTAAACGCGGAATCTATACTAATATATAAATCTACAGTGTTTTTACGGATGTTCCGTTATAACTACTGAACCATGCATCCGATTGACTTGAAACTTGGTATCCATGTAGAAAATACATGTACTTAATGGATAGGCTAATATTTATATGAGTGTTGGACTCCAGTTGCGGGGGCGGTAAGGATGAGAATCTTTGTGGGAGTGAGAAATAATAATGTTAATTTTAAATGCCCAGCGAAGCGGACGGGTACAGCTAGTAATTTATAAAGTTGTTGCATCGGTACAGTTACGAGCTGCTGCAGAAGTGTTGGAGCTACCGACCGGAGCGGCGGCCGTCGTTCCGCGAGTGTCTGAGCACGGTGTCGGCGCTGCGGGACACCACGCCGCCCACCACCGCCCTGCCCGCCCACCACCACTACCTCACCTTACTACCCGACGGTGAGTATCCAGTGTGCTTAGTGAGAATTTTTTAACGTTTTTGATAGCGTGAAAGTTAACTCAAATTTGTATGCAGTTAGAACAGCGCTCCTAGCGGCACACGTAGGCAAACGTTCCATACAAATTTGAGTTAACTTTTACGCTATCGAGAACGTTAAAACGTTCGCACTAAGCAAACTGGTCTCTCTTACGAACGCAGGACCACAGGTCGGAACAGATAAGACTGCAATTGGACTCACTTTTGAATTTCATCCTCACATTTTTTAAATGAAGCCTTATAATATTATTATTCCGCAATTACCAAAAATTTTGTGTGATCAGTGAAATCTAGCAATGAAACTAGAACACACAGCTGTAATAAGCTCCGATGTTTGTTTAAAGTCGAATGCTCTCGAAGCGAACTTGCGAGGGAACTTCAGATCACCAGACGCAACTGTGTATCATGGCACCAAACTATGATTATAAACGCATTGCAGTTGGGATTCGTCGTACATGCCTCATTTACTGGATTTTCAGTTGCGACCATAACGCTTTGCATTAACACTTAACCTTAATTCATTTATAAAAAAACAAAAATCTTGCATGTGACGAATACGAATTAAGGCGAACATCTTGAAATGAGTTACGCAAGGTGACAGTTATACCAATACCCTTTATATTTCTCAGGGACACACAAGTCGTCTGATATCGCTAACATGGGGATAAAGTTTGGTCTTAAAGCCCAATTCTATAAAAGTCCGTTGCGCGTTTAACATTAAAAAAAAAAAAACTAATGTCATTTAATTTTGTATTGTGCACGTAGCATGCTCAGAGGCCGTCGACAACCGCACCTACCTGCTGGACGAGAATGACAACGCTTGCTTAGGTTTGTCCTCTAACCATGCCTACTTCTTGAACGTAATCACATTCTCATAACATACACTATCAGTATCGCCATTAATAAAATTAAAATGAAAATTGACATGATTTAAATTATACAGGGTGTTCTGTATGTTTCTAATCCCGAAACGGGTATAAGCTGTTATCCCATATCCTAAAGCCCGCAATGTATCAACGGGTATCATCTACTCTCGGACGATATATTTAATGTATTTTTAACCGATTTACATTAAAGAAATACATTAGCTTTTTTAGTGCTATCGTGTTAAGAAGAACCAACACTAACCACTTATCTATACTAAAACACCCTGTATATTGTTTTTTTTTTTATATTCACAATACAAAACGATACTATTTTTATTCATTCATAACATATAGCTCGAGCACGTCAACGATATAATATGAAAACGTTGTTGTTCCTATGTTTTAATTACGTACAGACGAGGAGTGTCCAGAGCAACAACAAATGGAACCGTCGCGGTTACTGCCCGAGCGCGCTCCCAAGTACCTAGAGCTGGCGTACGAGAGCGACTCCGCGACCGGAGACGGATACGAGGTTCCTCGCGCAGGGGCGGGGGGTGCGGCGAGGGGAGCGGGAGGGGCGAGGTCAGGCACAAGGAACGCGACCGTGGTGCCGCTGCGGAACGGCATCGCCAAGCGCGCGTCACTGTGCGCCGACCCGCGCCGACTAGACCTCGACTTCGATCTCGACAAATACGTATTCAAGACTACTTTCTAAGCTGTGATATTTTAGACTAAGTCCGCATACTGTGTACAATTATTATGTATCGTAGCTCGGTCGTGTTCACGCCAACTTCAATCGCTAACGTGGAAACAAACTTGGACAAAGAACAATGTTTTGGTGGAAGAACCTCTTGTGACTCCGCACGCTTAGGTACCACCACTCCGCCTATTTCTGCCGTGAAGCAGTAATGCGTTTCGGTTTGAAGGGTGGGGCAGCCGTAACTATATTGAAACCTTAGAACTTATATCTCAAGGTGGGTGGCGCATTTACGTTGTAGATGTCTATGGGCTCCAGTAACCACTTAACATCAGGTGGGCTGTGAGCTCGTCCACCTATCTAAGTGATTAAAAAAAAATTATACGTGATGGCGTGACACGACATTACAAGTCCTTGTCTGACATATCGGTCGCATCCATGCGAACCACTTCATATTAATTATTGCTCCGTCATTTGAGAACATACGCAATAAGTACATACCTCTCATATTAATAAAAAGAAAGTATCATGTTCACCTCATACTGTTCGACTATGTATGATACAGCGCATTACTAGTAATATATGTAAATCCATCATAATTGGATTTCTGAATATCCACCGATCGATAGATATATAAAAAATTATAATTAAGAAATGTTTAAATGTTATTTATTTAAATTAATTATCCTTGTAAATATTGAAATCTTTGTATATATAATTGTAAGAAATTATCTTAAGCGATGTACGCCAAGCTCTTTCCGGATAATTTGTTAATATTAAAACTATTATTTAAGAGGCGATGTGTAATTAAAACATGTTTTCATAATGAATGCAACTTTTTTATTTAAGAATCAGTTTTATTTAACAACTATCTATGACCGCTCAATTTTTAATCACTATGATTAGGTTACAGCAGCAGATAGTGCGACAAAAATAGAATTTCTTTTTTGGTCAGTCATCAAACATTTCCGCATTACTCACGTACGTTATGGAATTTTCTGTCGCCGAGGACAAAATTCGTGAGATTAAACATAATGGAAGAATTGTTAGTCAAAAGAAACTTAATTCCTAACGAGAAACAAAACGAACTTTATTATATTGAGTGGCGAAAGGGTATTTGGTTTAAGCGACATTTATACAAATTTATATGAGAGCCATTTAGAGGGTAAATTTGGAAAAAATTATCATAACAGAGTAACTTCTTCAGCCATGTATTCGAATGGAGTAAACTTAATTCAAGTTCAATTAACACTAAACATACCATAATGGGTCAAATGACCCAATTTGAACTTTTGCATTGAAAAAGCACGTATCATCTTATTGCTTTTGCACATTTGACTTCATTACTTTTTCTTACCAATTAATCTACAGTTATTAAACTTTTTTTTGTTTTGTTTTGTTTATTTTGAGTAATACTTATTGTATACCGTTATCTACCCGCTATGGAGGAAATACGTACCATTTAGTGTTGCTATGATTAGTGTTAAAAACATCCAACTGTTGATGTTAATACCAAATAAAATCGAACTTTAATCACATACATAACGTTGCGTATTAAGCGAAACGTCGCTTAAACCAAATAGCCTTTCACCCCTCTACACATATATATATGTATATATATATGTATATATATAGGTCACTCGCCATCCTCGACGACCTCCTGCTTGAGTCGCTTCTCGTGCTTGATGTGGTCGGCGGTGGCGAGCGCGGGCTCGAGCTGGTCGTCGTCCTGCGCGTCGTCCTTGCTGTTCTCGTGCAGCAGCACGTACTCCCGCTGCGAGAAGCCGAACTTCACGACGTCGCGCTCCAGAAGCTCCACGTAGCGACGCGGCTCGATCTTCTTGTTGTTCACGAATGTACCGTTGGCCGAATCTGAAATTTGTATATTGCATAATTCAATTAACGGAGAGCTAAAAGTGTAGCGAAAAGAGAAGTGAAACTTCTTTAGGCGCGTTGAAGGTAAAATTTAACACGCAACAAATTCGTTACCGATTCGAACCACTCGACCGTGGAGACAGGGAAGAAACAAAGCGAGCTAGATCGTTTCTCTTATTCTCTATTACAAGAGAAATTTGATTTAAGAATGAAAAATGAAGAAAACCACAATAGTACACACCGCAAAAGAAGTTTCACTTCTTTGACGTGCATCAAGTTGCACGCGCACCATATTTTTGTTTACTCAAAAATCAAGATTTCGCTGCTGACGTTCATACGATTTCACTCGATGGTGCTATGTATTTAGTAGTCCGTCGATGCCACCGACTTTGAGACGTGAAGTTGAATCTTCGACAATATCCTAAAATTGGTAGTAGTATCCTCGTTTACGCCTAATACCTGAGCATTTATGCTCATCTACAGCATACAATTATAACGATTCGGTTACCAAGATCAATGACGTAAGGTCTGACTCTGCGTCCCTGCGAGCCGTCAGCTCTGGTGAAGGGCGTGGCGCGGTACTGCAGGGCGGCGTGCTGCTTGCTGATGGAGGGATGCTCCAGTGCGATATCCACCACTTTCTTGTCGCGCCCGATCAAGAACGCCGATTGCCGATGTATATACAATATGGGCAACGCTTTGTCACCTTTGAACGGGTAGAATCTGGAAACAATACAGTTTGTATGAGTATTTTTGTTTTGGCGTTTGATAAGCTTTCGGTGACCGTCTTCCCGATCCTGCGGACAGATTGGAAAGCAGTCGACGTCGCCCTAAACTCGTCATTTCGGATCCTCCCGATCCACTAACGGTGCTTTTAGGTACCTCAAGCAATATATAAGTATATAAGCAAGCGACGGATTCGACGAATAAATTAACCCACAGACACAGCCCACTGAGTTTCTCGGCGGATCTTCTCAGTGGGTCGCGTTTCCGATCCGGTGGTAGATTCTGCGAAACACGGCTTTTGCTAGGGTTCGTGTTAGCAACGTCGTCAGGTTTGAGCCCCGTGAGCTCACCTACTAGTTACGCTGAAATAGCCTCTGAAGGCTGTCAGCAAAGGTAGGAAAAAAAAATTGACCGTCTAACGGAAAATTTATTGTCAATCGCAATGATTCAGTAGTTTGGAAATGAAAATCACTGGTACGTGTTTATTCAGCTGCCACTGGTGTCTCTGCATTTTTCTTTTGTTATTTTTAAAGATAATAGACCGGTTTAAAAAGTATATTTTGGAGATGTAATGTGTGATTATTCATTGGGTATGATTTTTAATTAAACCAATCGTTACTGGTGTTAGGACGTCGTGTGAGTCCGCACGGGTAGGTACCACCACCCTGCCTATTTCTGCTGTATTGCGTTTCCGTTTGAATCGTGTGGCACCCGTTATACGGTTTAAAACTGAGACTTTACAACTCGAGGTGGGTGGCGGCATTTACTTTGTAGATGTCTATGGGCTCCGGTACCCACTTAACAGAGGTTGGCCGTGAGCTCGTCCACACTATCAGCGTTATAAAAACCAAACCGTTTTCTTTGCCACAAACGACGTCATACGTAATGAATTTGCGTTCAGCCCAGTTGTTTAAAGTTTACAAGGACATTTAGAAAAACAAAGGCAGCCCGATTCACTGTCGTTAATTCTCAGTTTTTGGACGCTTAAAACTTAATAAAATGTAAACGTTTGAATAATTAATTTTCGTAAATTATCTGCGCTGTATCATTAATTGACCACAGCAACAAATTAGATACAAACAAGCGACGCAGTGTTGAAGCAATCAGAGTCGCAAGTTCATTGTCTTATAAGGTCAAAAGAGATTGAACCTAGAGCAGTTTTAGTAGCATGACTAACATGATAGTAAAATTGGCAAAAAATATTTTAAATTAATATTTAACATTTTGGATCATCTGTTACCTCCATCTTCTTTTGGGTTGTTTAGCATCATCCGGTTCCGTATATTTGATGACAACACCGTTGACAGTGTTAGCGTCGGCTGTCAATTTACCGGAGAGACCAAAGTTCGGCTTGTCCTTTTCATTCGGATTCTTCGCGTCTTCCTTCTTCACTTCCGTCTTACCCCAGTTGTATTCTTTATTGTCTTCGGCGTCGGCGAACCTGAGTGTTTCGGGAATTATTTTCTAACTTTTTTTATTACAGGAGAGTTTGCGGTAAGCTTATACTGTATAATATGTATTAGTGCGAGTTTGTATCATGACCAATAAAATTCTCTTACTGATCTCTGATACTCTTGAGCTTAAGGCAGTCACTAATAACCATTATGGATTTTAGATAAATCATATCCAGAATTAGTTTTTAATTTAATACCATATACGTACCCACCCGTCCGCTTCGCTGGGCATTTAAAATTAACATTATTATTTCTCACCCCCACAAAGATTCTCATCATTAACGCCCCCACAACTGATGTAGGGAGTCCAACATTCATATAAGTATTAGCCTATCCATTAAGTACATGTATTTTCTACACGGATACCAAGTTTCAAGTCATTCGGATGCACAGTTCAGGAGTTATAACGGAACATCCGTAAAAACCACTGTAGATTTATTAGTATAGATGTATAACATGCTCTGAAGTGTACCTTGACTTCCTCTCCCTGGGCCTGGGTTGAGGTTTGTCGGGTCGAGGTTCATCGGGGCGGGGTCGGTCCCGGCGCGGGTCGGGGGCGCGGCGGTAGGCGTCGTCGTCCCGGGGCTCGTCCCTGGGCTCCGGCCGTCTGTTGCGGTCCCTGGGCCGCTCCTCGAAGCTGCGGGATCTCGAACGCTCCCTAATCATTAAAAGCGCACTCGTAATTGACACAATTTCTATCATCTGACCCAATTCCGATTTTATTCGTTATTTAGTAAATCGATGCGAGAAAGATAAAGATAGATTTGAAATTAAATATTTGTTTACAATAAAAAATAACTAAACAGGATAAACAACTTCATCACATCGACTTCATTAAAAGGATAATCGTTTATAGTCAATTTACGTATTTGCTAAATTTATAATAATATTAATCTATAAATTATGAAACATCAATCCATCTCTTGACCAAAACCTTGGTTTTTCATAAGCGAATAATCGACTTTTGTTTCTCGTAGAATCATATCCAATACTTCAAGCACTTTTTCGCCATACTACAACAAAAGTAAACGACTTAATATCCATTATTCACGTACGTTACGTTACTTAATACAACTGCGAATTATTTACTATTTAATTTGTTTCATGGCCCTTGCAATGTCATTACGAAAGGAAATAATAACTTAAAATCTTAATTCGCGTTGTCATCTGTTTGAGATTAAAAGCTACTCTATTTTACCCGTTTTGTAGAGATCTCATTTCTGCGACGTCCAGACGATCACTGGATCCGATATATTACTGTAATCTTTGCGCTTAGTTATTGAGGCTAATATTCATCTCAGTACAGCTGCGGCTGTATAACCATTATTTGTTGATTAGCTACACTGGTGGTAGGATCTCTTGTGAGTCCGCGCGAGTAAGTACCACCACCCTGCCTATTTCTGCTGTGAAGCAGTAATGCGTTTCGGCTTGAAAGGTGGGGCAGCCGTTGTAACTATACTTGAGACCTTAAAACATATATCTCAAGGTGGGTAGCGCATTTACGTTGTAGATGTATATGGGTTCCAGTAACCACTTAACACCAGGTCCACCCATCTAAGCAATAAAAAAAAAAAACCATAACACACCGATTGCTGTAGGTATTTAAATATCGAGCAGAAACATGTAAACCAAAAAAAATATTTTTAATCACATTGTATTTTAGTTATTTTAGCTCAGGAACGAAGGTTTACTGGATTACTGGCCTGAAAGCCTTTCCAGTGTCACCTGAATAAGGCGAGCACGGGCTCAGCCATGAAGCTGGGATTAACAGCTGCACGAGCGCTTCCGAATTAGACCTAAGCTACTACTTCGCGAATGCATCTACCGGATCAGAATCGTGACCCGCTGAGATCCGGCGAGAAACTCAGCGGGATGATGTATGGGTTAGATTCCACGCCTCTTTTACGGTCTGGAACTCTTTGACGGGATCGATGAGTACGGTTACCGCTGTCCCTATGTTCCAATATCCCATTGTCTATTGCTAAGCTGCAGGCATGTAATGACAATGTTAGCTAATCGGATGAATCCGTGAGAACGTGCCTGCCTAGTGTGTCGACGGTGACCGGCGTTAGCCTAAGTCGGGGAGTATAGTCGACGGCAGCCATACTGAGCCTATTATCGTGACGCTTAATCTTATCGAACTGACTTTGGGTGTTTTCTGATGGATTCGAGACCCAGATTTATTTATTTTGACGAGCAACCCTAAAGAACTTCGGATTTCGTTGTATGCAGCCCTAAGGAACTTCAAACTTCGTTGTATGCAACCCTAAAGAACTTCGGATTTCGTTGTATGCAGCCCTAAGGAACTTCAAATTTCGTTGTATGCAACCCTAAAGAACTTCGGATTTTGTTGTATGCAACCCTAAGGAACTTCAAATTTCGTTGTATGCAACCCTAAGGAACTTCAAATTTCGTTGTATGCAACCCTAAAGAACTTCGGATTTCGTTGTATGCAGCCCTAAGGAGCTTCAAATTTCGTTGTATTCAACCCTAAAGAACTACGAATTTCGTTGTATGAATTCCCGTTGCAAAACTTTCAACAATATTATACCTAATTATGGAACGCCTTTAAATAATGATCGGACACAAACATTACCTATAGAGAACAGAGTTCAATGACTTATATTGATATTATTTTGGTGAGATGTTTTTTTTTGTCGCTCAATTTAATGTTTTTTTAAAGTTAGAGATAAAGTTTATTGCACTTTCGTATAAATACTGTTACGTAGATGCTTTCAAGATTTATTCGATTTATAACATAGGGCGTTCGTGTCCTCCGTGACCGCGAACATGTAAGAGTGTGTTTTTCATCACGTCTCGATAAAACTAAGAATACTGTATCGATGCTCTCGCTTATACTGTATTTATTAACGTCTCTGTCCCTAGCATTGCTGAAGTCCATGGGCGACGGTAACCACTCACACTTTTTTACTGGTGGTAGGACCTCATGCGAGTCCGCGCGGGTAGGTACCACACCACCCTGCCTATTTCTGCCGTGAAGCAGTAATGCGTTTCGGTTTGAAGGGTAGGGCAGCCGTTGTTACTATACTTGAGACTTTAGAACTTATATCTCAAGGTGAGTGGCGCATTTACGTTGTAGATGTCTATAGGCTCCAGTAACCACTTAACTCCAGGTGGGTTGTGAGCTCGTCCAGCTATCTAAGCAATAAAAAACTCACCGTCAGATGGGCCGTATGCTTGCCTGGTTACAAGGACAATAAAAAAACACAGACTGAATGTATTGTACCTGTGTGGAGGCAATGGAGGTCTGTCAACTCTGGGCAGTAGCTTGTCTCGACGCGGCTCCCGACTCCTGTGAATAACAAAACAATATTTAACTAATATTAACTGATAAAACACTTATGGAAGGGGCCTTAAAAACCAAAAGCATTCTAATGTGATTTAGGAAGGCACCGAATTAAAAAAAATTTGAATAATAGCACAATTACAAAAAAAAAATTATACAAAAAATATTTCCTTGACATTTATCCTTTTATCGCGGTCGACATGTTTAAAACATTTTTTTTATAGAATTCCGAATTCACATATGTACAATGTAATCGACTTTCCAATAAAAGAAAGAATGCTGGAATCTAGAAACACAACTGTTAATTATTACGATAGCGTTACGTTAATATAGGTATGTATGTATATATTTTTTATCTTCAACTTGTAGTACAAATTCGTAGTACACTCCTGGAAATCTTTCACTTACCGTTACTATTAAAAATACGATGTATTTTGTGTTGGTAGGTCTACCTAATGGTAATTACTTTTATCCGTTCGTGGATGTTTCATTAGATCAAACACAATTCTAAGTAAAGTTTTTTTTTTCAAATAGGTTGATTTTTAATCAATGAAAATGCATATTCTGCAATATTTCATGTAATTTGGTGAAGATTAAGTCCGTCGACTTTTATAATACTGTTAAAATGTTGCTTTATTTTATTCACAATTATTGTCTTTGTAGTGAAAAGTATTCTATCTATGTTATACATATCTTTTCAATAATCTAACGCATTTCGTTGCGTTCCTCTTCGCATTATTCATTTTATCTGCTAAAGTCTATGACCCATATATAAGTCCCGTTAGATTTTCATATTCTCCAAAATGTGAACAAAAATACGTTAGCTCTTTTCTGCTTTAATCCAGCAATTTTATCATATAATTTCATATCCTTTAAGAGTCATGCCGACGTTTTCAATGACAATGTACAAGCTTGCAATTTAAATCATTTCATGTCAGTGACATTTTTCTTTTTTCAGTATGATGATATTTCATTAAATAATTGTATTCTACTAAGCGATCATGGTCCATTTAAAACAACTGTGAAAAACAGTTTTGTATATCTGCATTATTCAATTTCATTTTTCAAAATTTTTTTTNCCTTTAAGAGTCATGCCGACGTTTTCAATGACAATGTACAAGCTTGCAATTTAAATCATTTCATGTCAGTGACATTTTTCTTTTTTCAGTATGATGATATTTCATTAAATAATTGTATTCTACTAAGCGATCATGGTCCATTTAAAACAACTGTGAAAAACAGTTTTGTATATCTGCATTATTCAATTTCATTTTTCAAAATTTTTTTTTTTGCAGCTTCCTTTTTTGGTATCATAGTTTCTGGTTTCTATTCTATATTATATTCTACTGCATCTGAGCAATTATGATCTCCAATTTCGGTAAAAGGTTCGTTCATTTCTCATCTAAAGAAATATTTATGATGATCTTTTATCTCCTCCAAAGTGGTCTGGTAACTTTCAAGTCAATAAAAATCTTCCTTGAAGTAACATTTCTATTGTCTTTTTTCATTATAAAAAACCATAGGTTTCTGTCTTAATTCAGAGTTATTTCCAAAATGTTTTCAATCCAACATGTCACTCAAGTAGCAAGATTGTTTTCAATCAAATTAACAATATGCAACGGATTGTGTTAACCAAATGTAGAAATCACAGAAAATCTAGACAGCATCTTCTTTGCATTCTTTAACATTTTAGGTTGATTGTGGAAGTATAAATTCTTCAAAATGTATCTATTGTGTATTAGACCTCGAAAATGTAATAAACGTACAATACAAATTACATACAAGATGTGAAGCAACATGAACCTTCGGTGGCACAGATAGTGTGTAATTGACACTATAAAACACCTGCAGTGTGTTTATTTTATCTTTATATCAGCATTATCATAACGAAGAAATCGTTTTTCAATGGATCTTTTGGATTTTTATAAATTCACACATGCCTAGAGTGGTTATCATTTAATTTGTAAATAAGAAAATATCTTTGTAACACCAACGCGCTCTGACCACAATAGTATTCTGTAGAGAAGGCACTGTAAAAACAAATTCAGTCATTTAACGACACCGATCAACTACAAAGCCAATGCACACATACAGATTCAATAATTCAATGCCAATTTATGATGAAACAACAATTTCATGTGGAATTTTGGGCTTGTGCTGCACTGACTTTTTAACTTAAAAGATGATTTTACGTTAACATTCATTCCAAATTCTGCATACCTTTCTAACGGGTACGGTTCTTCACGGAATTTCTCACTCTTGACTGGAAACTCGCGCTTGTTCGGAAACTCTCTCTTGTCTGGAAATTCTCTTTTGTCTGGAAACTGGCGCTTGTCCGGAAACTGACGCTTGTCTGGGAACTGACGTTTATCTGGAAACTCGCGCTTGTCCTGGTAGTCGCGTGGCGGTGCATGGTAACGCTCATTCTCAGGATGCCCACGACTATACAAACAATTTCTTTCATTATTTTTTTATTTTCTGTACAAAGTGTATTTGAAACAACCGTTTCCTCGAAACATTCATTTTGTTGTTTATGGATTTCAATTATAATAAATTATTATATATTATAAACATTGAATAGCAGTTCAACTGCGAACTCATCTATCCAACTTTCCTGATAGACTAAATACGAATTATATAAAACATACCGATCCTTGTAATCTTCGCTTTCTTCATAATCGCGTCTCTTTATATTTCTCTCACCGTATTGCTCATATCGGTTATTGTCGTAACCTATTGGCAAAATTTATATATATTGCTATCAAATTTTGATTGATAAACCTTAATTATATATCTATATATCAGTGTTCTCAATAATGTTTAAAAAGAGATACTTCCTGATGATATTTCCAGTTTTAATGCATGTGTGAAAATTAATAAACACACAATACAATAAATTTAGCCATTAAAATTCAATCTTACCCCTTGGGTCAGGTTTAGAATGGTACACTTCATCTCTGGGTTTCATTTGATAGCCATCATCAGGACGACGATAATCTTCATATCTTTGATTCCTAAAATTATTTTTGCTTAAAGGAATGTTCTTTTCTTCATAAGTATTAATACACTAAGTGTGGCATAAATTTTTATTCACAGCAAATTGTCAATTAAAATTATAAATTTACATAAAATGTTTACCGATGTAAATACTTTATTACTGGTCTAAAAGCTTATGATTGGATTGCAGATTGATTCTGCAATTTAAATAGAATTGCATTCAGTCATAGTACTTTATTTAAGAATCAAATATTTATCCACAATTATCATCAAAACCACAAAATATTTGACCTGAATGTAATTTTATTAAGGCTATCATTGTTAGCAATCATCAGTACTGTCACCTATTACAGCATTCGTTATTAATGTAAATTAAAGCAAAATCGTTTCATACTCTGACTTTGCTCTGCCTATATCACTTATGAAATAATTATTTTGAGGCCCCATAGACGAAATGATTGTAGTGTGTGAAGGTGGTTTTTGTCTATCTACTGCCAGTAGCCTCAAGATTCCGTTCGGGATTCANCATTGTTAGCAATCATCAGTACTGTCACCTATTACAGCATTCGTTATTAATGTAAATTAAAGCAAAATCGTTTCATACTCTGACTTTGCTCTGCCTATATCACTTATGAAATAATTATTTTGAGGCCCCATAGACGAAATGATTGTAGTGTGTGAAGGTGGTTTTTGTCTATCTACTGCCAGTAGCCTCAAGATTCCGTTCGGGATTCACCTGATATATAGACTCGAGGGGCTCAGCCTGAGAAATTGTTAACATCTGCCCTACCAAGAGCAGTGCTTTTCTAAATCTACCACTGGAACGGAATCATGACGTACTGAGAGGATTTGATGAGAAACTCAGTGAGTTGTGTTTGTGGGTTAAGTTGCAGCACTTTTCGGCTTTAGCTTTGCAGTACTTTTTCGACAAGTTGAAGCATTTGTCAAAAGAGCACTGAGAATGGATAGGGAGACTCCAAAATGATGTGTTGAGGGCGACAATAATTTTGTATTGCTTAATTGTTTGTAATTGACCTATTAGTGTATTGAAAATCAGCAGTAGGTATTGCATTCTTCAAGAGAATCTTTCAGACTTTAAGTGAAAATGACCATATGTTATAGTTTAATTCACTGTAAGTATGTGTAGCTACACATAAAATATACTATGAGAACCCAGTTAGCAGGATAGACTTACCTTTTAAATTGATTGAAATTTCTTTGTCTTCCACCACTATCATTAAATTGATTGTATTGTGAAGTTTGATTGTACTTATGTTTATTGTCAAAGTGTTCATGGTGATATGAAGCAAATCTGTAATATTGTATAATAATACAAAGTTCATAATGGAACAAGAATAAATAATGCAAATAATAATGCAATTTTAATTGTATTAATTACTTTACACACTATACATTTCATGGTAAACATTTTTACAGCTGACAATTTCACAGACTGCATTTAGTGTTGCTTAGACAGAAACCATTGCTCGGCAATGAGATGAAAGGTACATTACATAAAGTTTAATTTTGTGAGATATTATCATTGGTCTGTATTCCAAGTAACTTAAAAATACATTAAAAGCCTAGATTTTGTTTCGTTCAGATAACATAATGCATTTAGTACCTTTCGTGTTCTTGATCATATTGCTCCTGATATTGCCTTCGTTCCTTGCTAGAACCTCTATAGAACCTTTGAACTTCTCTTTCTCTTGCATTGTCTGCAGATTGAGAGCGTCTAAATTCCCTCCTAATGAACACATAAATTCAGCACAAAAATATTTGATAATTCGACATAACATAGATAACCTGATATAATGGCATGTCATGTATTTTGAGATTAATTTGATTGTGCACTACTTACTGATAATAAGTTCGGGTTGGCTGCACTTCTTCTAATGAATCCCGACGTTCCTTCACGACGCTGTGCAAGCGACGCTGACTCTTTTCTACTTCTGCTACAAATAAAAAATAAGAAATGTAACTATTTGAAAACTCAAAAATATGTTTTTTTCTTTCTTTAAGCATACCTATTTCACTAGCTGAGGAACTTCGGGCACGTTTAACATGTTTATGTTTGTGTTTTCGTTTCTTTTTAGATGTTTCTTCGCCTTCGCTCAGTATAAATTCGTCAGGTTTAACGTCAGAACCCGATCGGCGCTTCTTTTTCCCATGTTTCTTTTTCTTTTTTTTATGTTTGCGCTTTTTAGAACGTTTTTGATCATCAGACTCTGTCTCTGAATAAGATGAATCACGTTTTCTTTTTTTCTTGTGTCGATGTTCAGAAGCTGAAGATACCTCGCTATCACTCTCGGACGAGCTGCTTCTTGCACTATCGTTAGTGTCCTCAGATTCTTCAGAAGAAGTATGTTGTTTTTTTTTAGATTTCATGTTTGATTAAAACAACAATCAATCGTACACAAATCAAACACAAAAATTTAAAGGGAAAACGTAATAAACTAAAAGCCCATTACCTACTCCGCAGTGTGACCAGATTTAAATCGAACATTATGCCAGTTACTCGTATAAATTCTGCTAAAATCTGCTTAGTTTTTATAAATAATTCCAAAATTCTGCTAATAGATAAGGTCATCATTTTTACGAGGATTTAAAAGAACGAAAAAAGGCAATTTCAAATATTTATTAACAAATTATAACTTCCAAATTTCTGTGGCGTCCATGTTTTATATGGAACTGTCAGGCTTTGTGCTGCCTTTACCATATTTTTTGATGGCGTAAAATTGACGCATCCACCTTGTTCTTTAACTGCCTGTTTGACATGTAGAATTGCTGCAATATGTTCATTTTTAAATTTGTTCCGCAAGTTTTTTTTATGTTGCTTATTTGAGAAAATAGGCACTCACAAGCTGTATTAGACATAGGCAAAATCATCATGGCCTTTGCAAAATCAACCAAGTGCGGATACTACTTAGTTCTATCAGCCTTCGTCATTTTTGAAATGTGGCCCCAAAACATTTCTGTGTTCAAACTCATAGGTGTGGGATTAGAACTTCCTCCAGATTCTAACAGTTTGGCCACTGTTTTGTCTAATTTAACCTCCCGATATTCGGAGTCAATTGCTTGCATATTAGATTTTTTAACCAAATTAGGAATTTTAGAAAAAGTTCTGGCCAAACTTGTGAATTCTTTGTATACACCGTTTTGCGGATCAAGAAATTGCAAATTACGAGTATTACATAACTGAGTGACGATGGTCGACCACTATTTAGAAAATATGTAAACAGTGTTCATTGAGCACTACACACAACTTCAAAGCTAAACATTTAACGGGGATCCCCCTAAAATTTGCTTAAGTGCTGGCATTGTTGGAAGAAAAACCTGACATTGTTTTACAAAGGTAAAATTCCTCAAATATTTTTAGCGCAACTACCCGAATGACTAAATATGNAACTGAGTGACGATGGTCGACCACTATTTAGAAAATATGTAAACAGTGTTCATTGAGCACTACACACAACTTCAAAGCTAAACATTTAACGGGGATCCCCCTAAAATTTGCTTAAGTGCTGGCATTGTTGGAAGAAAAACCTGACATTGTTTTACAAAGGTAAAATTCCTCAAATATTTTTAGCGCAACTACCCGAATGACTAAATATGCAACACAGATGTCAAATCCTGCTACAATTCTGCGAAGTTTTTATGAGATTCAGCCAAAAAATTCCTTATTTTCAAATCTGCAACACAATCTGCTAAACCTTAAATTAGGGGTCTAATTCTGCTAAAATCGCAGAATTCTGCTAAATCTGGTCACACTGCTACTCCGTCCTATGTTGTTTTCTCTACGAAGACAGGTAATGGAACATAGTCCATAAATCCTAGATGCACAACTAAACTTCATGCAATCAAGTTTTAAACTCCTATTCCGAAACCTAATTTATTTTAAGCTAAAAACTAAAACTAAAATCTGACAATTTAATTACAGCGATTTTGTTTTGTTTGCCTACACTTGTAATGTGAAGATTCATAAATTCTAGAGTGACCTAGCCCTAAAGCATTAATAACACTTACAAACTTGAATTCACACATAAAGAGAAAACCCTCTCTAGGCCTAGTAAGATTATCATAAAATGACATTGTTTAATTGAAATTAATGAACAAGATAACAAACAACGTCATGTCTTATATGCTGAGACTTTATTCGGAAATTATAAAAATAACATATTACTTAAATCTGTTAAAAAATTCTTAGTTTATGATCCTTTCCAAGTAGCATTTTAAGCAAGTTGTCGATGCAAGTTGTCTATATAATACATATCTGTACAATATTACTATAGCCTGTTATGCCGCTCTCGTTGCGTCGTATTCCTCAACTCTTCTACATCACTTTCTCTCACGCGATCATTATTTATTTGTTTCTGTCTGTTATGCCCCAATGTCCTACATTAGTGGCAGCGATGTACTCTAACGATGTACTCGACGTTCGAGTTCGACGCTCGAAATTTTATCAAACCTTCCACTCCTGGCTTTGTTTTCTAGTTCGGCCATTCATTCTGGTGAAGCTTCAAGATCTCTAGAACAAAAGTCATTTCGGATCTTCCCGAATCACTCTTGGTGCTTTAGCATTTTAAGCACTGGTTACCGTATTCGACAAACCCGTCGAATGTGACGATGGATTCATCAAGCAACTTAACCTACAGATACAGACCACTGGGTCTCTCACTGGTTCTTTTTAGTGGTTCGCGATTCCGATCCTGTGGTAGATTTAACGAAGCACTGTTCTTGCTAAGGCAGATATTAGTAATGTCTCCCAGGCTGAGTCCCGTGAGCTCTACTATCAATCGGCGAAGTTAGTATAACGCCTTAAGGTTACTGGTAGTATATAGGACAGAAAAAAACGCGACGCGTCGTCATCCTTCCATCACTAAACCCACAAAAAATAACGTATTAATCCCATAGAGTACCTCCACGTAGAGGTGTAGTTAGCATTGAGGGAGTATTGGCAATTTTTTTTAATGGGTTTGACACTGTCATTAATATAATCGACAACAGCAAGTGTATAATCTATGGACAACACTGACGACAGTGACAAATAACACGAAATTCATAATTCACTTACGAACATATGTAGTTAATACACTTTTACACGTTAATAAACTTTTATTATATGTAGTATTTAATACTATAATATTTATGCCTACGAATACTAAGAAGAGAATTAAATACTAAATTTTTATAAAAAAAAGTAAGTTATTTTAATATATTCCCAACAAAAATTTGCCATACCAATGTTGGTCTTGGATTTCTTGAAATTTTATTAGGATTGGAGATTGCTATTTTATATGATCAAGATAATAATATTATTGTTTGCTAAATAAGTGTTGCAGCTTAAAAATAGTTCACCTCTCTGCTTCAAATTTGCAGTAAGGAACGAGCAAAAAAAAATATTAAAATTTAAAATTTCACTATGGCGATGAGAAAAAGAAGTGGCTCTGGATCAAAGAGACACTTAAAAGAGAAGGTTGTACAAATTTATGAATCGTTCTTTCGAGGAGAGGACTTAACGACTGATAACCCTACTTTTTGGGATGAATTCTTTCTTCTGAAGCCAAAAATACCACAGCTGGAAGCAGAAATACACAAACTGTCCACAGAACAGCTGATAAACATGAAAGAAAGTATGAATATATTGGTTGAACAGTGTATAGAAATGTTGAGACAAGACCATCATATAAGGTAAGAAAAGTCATCAATAACCATTAAAATTATTTTTTAATCGATATAGATTAAATGTATGAGTATGAACAAAAGGATGAGTTGTAAATATCCTAAAATTAAAATAACCTTTTGTCACTGGAATACATATTAAAAAGCAGATACATAATGGAGTTTGCAACAGTGATGAAATGTGAAAATTGTGGTATAATCTGTTAAATAATTGTGTGTATATTGTTGTTGATATTTTAGGTTGCTTTATGCTTTACAAACATTAAGTGCATTACTCATTACTATGTATCAAAGACTTGAACCGGATTCAAACATAAACATCAAAACTATAATGATTGGGCAAGAGAATGCTGATACTAAAATGGTGAAATTATTTGAACAATGCAGTATTATACTATCAGGTTTGTAAAAGTCTCTTGTACCTGCTTAAACTACTACTAAAGACTATAGATTGATTCAAATTGTATATTGTATTTAATATTAGATAAAAACAAGAATCTGTTCAAGTTACTATTATAATTTTTGTAATGAAATATGTCATACAGCAATTGCGAATGAGAATATCTATAGACTTGTAAAATTTGAATCCGTTATTTATTATACCTTTATACCTTGGATACACATATTAAACCTTGATGTAAAGCTTTATTTAATAATTTTCTGTTTATAAATATTCTTCTTGAGTCATAGACATCATCAAAATATTTTTATGGTTTAATGTTGCATTTAATGTTTTAGAATAGTAGTTTGTAATTGGCACAATCTTCAAATGTTGATAAATAAATGTTAATAAATGTTAGTCATCAGTGGCCCCAAAAAAATTAAATTACTTAAAAATGACAGAAATAATAAAACATAAATCATATCTTAATGTTTTAGGTGATGTTCATGAGAGCTTAAAGTCAATGGTTCTGAAGCTCTTGCTTATTATAGCAACTGGAATAGAAAATATAGATGAGAATCCTTTTGTGGAGTATTTCATGTCAAACTGTTTGTTTGAGCCATTGATACAGCTGCTTTGTACCACTACAGAAAGGCAACAGCATGGTAAATAACAATCTATATATATAAAAATGAATTGCTGTTCATTAGTCTCGCTAAAACTCGAGAATGGCTGGACCGAAATGGCTAACTTTGGTCTTGAATTATTTGTGGAAGTCCAGAGAAAGTTTAAGGTAGATAAATATAAAAATGCTCTGAATTAAATAATAATAACAATTTTGTTTTCCCTTTGATGTGTCCCCCGTCGGACGGATTCCTTTTGTTTGTTTTAAGTTTATTTTATACAAAAGTTTAGGTCTTTTATTTATCGATTGAGGCACTACGAAGTCTGCCGGGTCAGCTAGTAACAAATAAATAAACTTCTGGGTCAGGTGCCTCAGGTCACCTGCCCTGGGGAAAAACTGATCTACATTTACTGCCATGGTATACCATGGTATACCATCTAGCTCTGGAATTAACTTCCCTCCTAACTGTTCCCAGACATTTCTTTCAACTGTGGTTTAAGAGAACTATCAGTAGGCAGGAACATGTTTGTGCCCCTGGGATCTACTGTGTGTATTAGGATTGGCAATCACGTGCCGTTAGATGCTATTTTGGATGGTTATAAAAAAAGAATAAATCTGCATGAAAACACTTTTACAATTTGAATTCTAGTGATTAGTCAATACTAACACCAGCCGATGGTCAGCGTTCAGGGTCAGTGGACCCTGTACATATTAGTATCTTAAATATTGAATAAAATAAGAAAACAAACTACGAAAATCTGAAGATATCTGGAGCAATAACTTTATTGTTAACACACAGTATAAATTCTAATGCTCTTTATCATATTTCGTTCATAACCATTAAGTTACGTAAATTTTTAAGATAAGGCAAAATAAATTATATTAACTATGTATACCACATAAATGTAACAATATCGATATTCACAATCTTATCTTTTGTACACAGTGTTTCAATTAATATAACAGAAATCATGGAAATTTCATAGAATCGATTTTCAACCAAACATATATTCTGCTTGACAGTAATTATAAATTAATGTTATGTTTCAGGTTATGATGTAGTTATGTTACTGATGTTTTTGATAAACTATAAGAAGCATGAATCAACAAATCCATATGTTGTTAAACTTTCTATATTAGATGATGAACTGGCTTTGAATGGGTAATCATTACTGTTGAAATATGTACCTTTATGGTTTTACTAATGATATTCCAATAAATAAATCAAGTTTAATTTAAAAATAACATTATTCTAGCTATGGCCAAGTAATAACGACAGCTTTGAATGACTATGTAATGTCAGCATTCGGTGGTATGCAAGGCAACGGGGGTGGAGGTGGTTGGTTGTCATCTCTAACTAGTATGGTTGGGGGTATATTCCTAACAAATGATGAACAACAACCTTTAGCCAGGGGACAAAGGAACAATGGCGCCGAAGAAGGAATGCTCCTGGCTATGTATGAGGCTTCGCATTTAAATCGGAATTTTATGACGACTTTGGCACATTCGTCTTCAACGACGGCGTCGTCAGCGCCACCATCGCCCCCAGCAACGTTACCGCCTCACCAGGTAACATACAGAAGTTTCATGGTAAAAAAATGTAATAGTCCTCGCGGTTCACCCTTAACGATTTATTGAAATTTTAACAGCATGACGTTGTTGCCGCTTAAGACCATTATAAAAAAAAATAATAATTAAATTTTATAATAAGATCCTTGGTGCCCACTTCCAGTGAACCATTCCATTAAGCGGCCATCAGAGTAAACAGTCACCAAAATATAAAGGCAAAGACCACCCTGATACGTAAATCCTGTACAAGCGCAATCCACCACCTTTATTTTAATAAAAACAATTGAAGACATGAGTGGATGAAGGGGATATGATACAATTTTGAGTAACGTACTTTTTCTTCGTACATAACTCCTTCATCACATGCAACTTCTAAAAATATCCTTTAACCCCAGAGTTTTAAGGTCTAATATGGTTTATAGGCACATAACCATTTCATTCAATGTACAAACTCAAAAATCTTAAAAATGGTAGTTTCATCCACCCATGTCTTTAATTATTATTATTAGTTTAAAGCTTTATAAATATATTCAAATAACTTTTCAGAGTCCACCGAACCTCGCTCAAATACAAGCCCTGGACAATGATCAACCAACGAATTTACTAGTCACATTCTTTCAGTATTGGTATGTATAGCATGGCATAAAATTACGGTCAGTATACTGATGTTTTTATTTGAAATTTAACTGTAGCAATGTCAATTCAAAATTTGCTATGTTTTCAGTTCAATCATAATGGCGGACACGAGGAGCGAAAGTAGTATTAACAAATGCAGTCTCTGTTTTATCACTTTAACGTGCATCGTGGAGGACCAATTTGCTAATTCAATTATGCACGACCAAAACCTCACTTTTAAGGTAACGGAGATATAATTTTCAATAATGTATACATACTAGCCGTACTCGCCCGCTTTGCTGGGCATTTAAAATTAACATCGTTATTTATTGTCATTTTATTATTAGGCAGTCCAACACTCCTATAATCCATTAATTTGCATGGATACCAAGTTTCAAGTCAATCGGATGCATGGTTCAATAGTTATAACGGAACATCCGTAAAAACCACTGTAGATTTATATATTAGTATAGAAGTATAGATTCCGTTTTGGGGTTCCATTGTGTACTTGTATGTCGATATTTATTTTATTTTGTTGCCCAACATACAAATCACGGTCCTTCAGTGATAAAATACGAAAGCGAACTATAAGTAACATGCATTTTACAATTCATTGTGTAATATGGGTTGAGGCAATGAAAAGCATTTAATTGCATCATGTTTCTTCATTGTAACTAACCTAATAAATATAGTAAAAATACATGCAATTTTTTGGTCGATTCAAATATTTTCAAGATGGTATGTACTTTTTTTTATCGATGGCGTACCTCACTTTACGGATATCTGGCTGACGGGGATCATGTCGGACTCAGGCACCTCCAAAGAACTAATAAGAGAGGTCGGGGACCGAAATCCTCGTCCTCTTCCAATTGATTCTAAGAGACTACGCCTTCAGAAAGGCGTGAGCCGCGCAAGACTCGCCCCGCGGAACGTACTGTCGACTAAACCCTAACGAGCTCCTCCTTTCCGACTAAAAGGCTTATTACACTTGGCTAAATTTAGTCGACTGAATTCAGTGAAGTGTAATAGCGTTCAGTAAGCTAGTCTACTAAATTCAGTAGCAAGGATGATTTCTGACTGACTAAATAATTTAGAAGCCTAATTAGAAACGCGTTTGGGAAGGTGTAATCGCATTTAGTTACTTAATGATTTCAGTCGTCCCATAGCTCTCCGTGCGTAAGGACGTTTTATTTTGTTTTTTACTTCCGAATAAAAAGTATTTATTTCTGTCACCTTTATTTAATATGCCAGACATTTATAAATAGCCCGACTGTTTCAGGGATAATTTTTGTCAGCAGGGGTTGGGATATTAAAGAACTAAATTTGAAATCTTGATACGAATTTCCTGTTGCAAGAAATCTTAATGTTACAACCAATCTGTCTTTTGAACTTATACTATGTCGTAGGATAGTATCCTGCTTTTGAATAAACGGTGTCACAAGGTTTAATATTAGGTCAAATGATCTCGTCAATCCATTGGTAGATAATTTCTGAAGTCTGCTGGTTCTAAATCACTCATAATCTTCATATTTGCTAACTTTCCGCTCAGCAATAAATATTTCTTCACCCATATTCTTCTTTTTCTTCTTTTTATTTCATTTGAGCTGACAGCGAGGGCTACGCCAAGACCAATTGTTTGTTGTCTAGACAATACTGGGGCCATCCTCTTACACACACGACACGTCCTACTTCGTCGCGTTTAAACTGGCAATTGATCAGTAACTGAATTAAGAACAGTGTAATCTGAAGCCTCTAACTAGCTTCTGAATTTGCTTCTGAATTCAGTCGACTAAATTTAGCCAAGTGTAATAAGCCTTTAATGCGGTCTACACACGACCCTAAAATCAGTGGCGATATCGGGACAGCGGTAGTGGGGGTAATCGTACCTCGTGAGCTCGCCCGAAGCGATTTTAGAGTTTAAGGTAAACAATAAAAATCGGGTTACGATTTGCCTATATTAGTGATTTAGGGTACGACTTAGGGTACTCCTCACCCTTGTTCCGATATCGGAACAGGGTCTTGTGTAGGCCGCATAAGACGGTACCCAGGTCTCCGCAAAAGATGATATGTACCTAAAAATATTTATAAATAATATCTAACTATTTGTTTCAGGTACAATTATATAGACTTCCGATGCGTCATAGGAAAATAGTTCTTGAGGAACCACCGTCACAACCGTTGGCGTCTACTTTAATAGGTTTGCATTCGACCAAATTAGCTATGATGAAATTTGATAGTGTTTTCAAAACAAGTAATGTTGTAAAAAGAAACCTAATAGAAAAACTATTCCCAGTTTGTTTATAAACTATAATATTCATTTTAGACACGATTATTTGTTTACGTTATTTGTATTGGTGCAATTGTAAATGATCCACCTATTATTAACCTGATACCAAAGCTAATAGGCATAACAATATTAATATCTCCACCTATTTTATGTCCATTCGTGCGTTCGTTACGTGCAGTGTACGCTGCGTTGGTAAAATAAAATCTTTGAACAGTTTTTCTATTAATTTTGGTCAGTGATTATAGTCAGAGTTGTCCAAACCATCACCAACTCTGTCTGTCATTGGATATCCTAATTCTAATGCATTCGAATGTCATCGCGTCATAGGACCTCTGGTTTTTTTTTCCTTACCTATTCTAGTAACCTCGAGGGGTTATTCTAGATTCACCGAACTTGTATATGTACACACGGGGCTCAAACCGGAGTGTTGCTAACACTGGCCTTAGCAAGAGCAGTGCTTCGCAGAATCTACCAACAGATCGGAAACGCGACCCACTGAGAAGATCCGGCGAGAAACTCAGTGGGCTGTCTGTGGGTTAATTTACTCGTCGAGCCCTTCGCCGCAAGCGACGGGTTCGACGAGGACGGTGACCGATGCTTGAGGTACCTAAAAGCACCGTTAATGGATCGGGAGGATCCCTAATGACGTGTTTAGGGCAACATCTCTGCCAGAAGTTAATCCCGGTTAAACCTGGTTAATCCCGGCGAATATAGTGTTCGCGTATCGATTCCACTCCTAGTGAGTGTTCGCGAAAAATCTGGTTGGGAATTAAAATGACCTGGTATTTTTTGAACCGTTCCCAAGCCCTGACCTCTGGTGCAAACATAACGTTTTCACGTTGCAGATCTTTTAGTCGAGTTCATAATGTGTCACCTGCTGAAGAAGTTCCCCGGCGAACTGTACAGCCTGTGCGTGGGCGTGCTTCTCCGGCTGCTGAGCTACCAGAAGCGGTGCAAGGTTCGTCTGGCGCGAGACTGGCGCCCTCTGTGGGCCGCGCTCATAGCGCTGCTCAAGTTCTTGGTCACCAATGAAACGGCGTTACTGAAGCGACACAATATCTTCATAATGGCACAACAGGTTCGCATTTTGTTATTTAATTTTTAGATTTCACCGATTTCAAATAGGAGGTAGTTCTCAATTCGATTGTATTTTTTTTATGTGTATTAACTGAATAACCTTTTTATAGATGAATCGGTTTGATGGTTCTTTTTTTTATTTGAAAACTAGTGCTTCTCGTGTGGTTCTGTTTCAATTAATAGTTTTTGAGTTAACCTTAAAAATGAATACGTTGTTGAAATTTTCATTTGATTTTGATATCGAGTTTCTTTTTTGTTAAAATATTCTGACACTGTCCTCAAGAGTTGATTTATTGAAAGGGATCCTCCGTTTTGAGAATTAATTTGAAACTAAGCAATCCTTCTGTTTAATTCCCGACACTTATCTGTTTTTCCAATACAAATCACGCAAAACCTTCAATGGATATAATCATGTATCTTGTTGAATAAATTACCAAAATTTCAGGTGGTGAACATTTTCAACTTATTTATAACATTGGGCGACACGTTCCTACCCACTCCGGCATCGTACGATCAATTATACTACGAGCTAATTAGAATGCATCAAGTTTTCGATAATCTATTTTATATGGGTAAGCACTTTAAATCCACACAAATAACATAATAATATCAATGTCTGGTTTGTTTGTCACTTTAAATATATTATGTCTCAATTGCTTAGTAATTACACATAATACAATTTTTTCGGTACCAATTTTTATTATAACGTATCGTGGAAGTTATTAGTGAACGTGTGTTAAGTACGTACATTAAGAATAAATATCTAGTACCTACCTGCGGGATTCGAACACTGGCACCGTCGCATCGCTAGAAACGACCGGCCGTGTTATCCCTTAGGCCACGTTTTTTTAAAATAATAAACATATTTTAAAAATGCTTTACGCTTTTACAGTTGTTTTTTTTTTGTTGATTGAGAAATATTTTTGCGTAATAATACTTATAGTAGTCGCTCGGAGTCGAAATTCGACTAACTTATAATTTAAATCAATTGTATTGATTTAAATTATAAGTTTGAACATTATTAAGGGTCTATTGTCAAAGACTATCATCATATACCTCTGGCTACATTGTAGATAAATAATATTGAAGACAAACAATATTAATCTATTCTCTATTTGACCAGACTTTAACAATAAACAAAAGAGTGTGTATGCGTGCGTGTGTCAAATACACAGTAGTGTGTGTCATGTTTTTTATTTTTTTAAAGTATTTATATACACAATTTTAAAAAAAATATGCTGATATTTTCTAAATCTGCACTCCTTCTCTATATAAACTATAGGTGTGTAAAATTTTATACTCCTCCGTCCGCGCAATTTTCGTAAAAAGCGGTACAAAGTTTTTGCTTCACGTATTAATTTAAAGATTATGTATAATGAAAGCTCTGCGGTACTCCACCGGCGACGGCGAATATAAAGCCGAAGCTTTGCGACTGGCCAATTGCTTAGTGAACGTGCGCGCCATCATCCAGCACTTCTCCGTGAAGATAGAAGCGTGGCTCGACCAACAGAATCTGTCGACTCCCTCCGAGGAGCAGGTAATGCAACTCAGTAGACTTAATCCATACTATCTAGAACTATTGCTTTCATCCATAGTGTACTTCCGGATATCTTTTTTGCCACGCACCATCCGATCTTGGAATGAGCTCCCCTCCATGGTATTGCCCGTTAGCCAGTGACTTGGCTCTGTTCCTGGCATTGCTGATGTCCATGAGCGACGGTAACCACTCACCATCAGGTGGGTCGTATGCTTGTCTGCCTACAAGACAATAAAAAACCGATAAATTGCATAGTAAAAGGTGTATTATCATTCTAAACAACAAACATCTTTGACTAAAAACAATTGAATAAACTACGAATCCTGTGATCACATAACAATCTCACAAGTCTGAATCAAATATTCCATACAGGTCCCTGGGCGGACTATAAACCCAAATGGATGGATGATATAGTCCTATATGTTTTTACTATGAAGCTGTCATGAGTTTAAGACTTCGATCTCATGTGTGCTCCGTTGTTCGCTGTATTCACGTTTATGAACTCTAAAATCGCCTAATGGCAGATGGTCCATCCACTCCAAACATTCTAAAAGAGTAAAACTTTAACAGTGTCACAAAAAAATGAATGTGTTTTTTAAGGGATTTTATGACCTTTAGGTACCTTTAGGTAAAGTTTTATTTTAATTTTAATGAAAACTTTTTTTTATGTAAAATTATATTATAAAATGAAATGAAGTTGATTAATGTGAAACATGGCAACAATGAAATGAGATGATATGGGATGAAATATAATCTCAGTAAAATGGTGGTCATTTACTGATACTTTTTCAGTGGACTTTTTGGAGGATCCCGAGAAGTTACGTTCAGCGGCTTTGTTTAATTTTCGCAAATTCTAAACAGTTATTACACGTTTATACCTGAAAAAAAAACTAAATAGACAAAATAAAACAAATCACACAACTTCACTCCTCGCGTTCCCGCCAAAAAGTCACATGACCGTTTGACGTTTCCCTCCCACAGATACTGGAAGTGGTACGCAAGAACTACGACAGCCTGATACTGAAGCTACAGAAGGGACTCGAGAGCTATGAACGCTATTCGGAACAAGAGCACTGGCCGCTGCTGGCGAGGACGGTGCGGGCGGCGCGGAGGCGGGGGGACGCCAGCGCGCTGCAGCAGCACTCCGCCGCCGCGCTCCACCACTACACTGCCGCCCCGTGATGAGCCCCGGGACACTCCCCGCCCGGTCAGACGCTAACGTAATCGGGAGCTCTATTTAACTGGTCACCGGTGTCCTACGTGGCGTACTGAAGTAATTATCTCGACTAACCTTAACCAATAGGTGAGCTCACGGGGCACAAACCTGACGATGTTGCTAACACGAACCTTACGGAATCGGATCGGCAACGCGACCCACTGAGAAGATCCGGCGAGAAACTCAGTGAGCTGTGTCTATGGGGAAACATATTATTGTGGTTTAAAGTAAAACTAAATTTATCTAAAACATTAATGAACTTTATCGTGAAAGTTGTAATAAATTTAATTTAATATAGCAAATAATAAATAATGAGGTCAGTGTGTCAATCAAATAGAATAATTTAACTTTGATAGTAGGTGTGTTTTACTTGTCGAAGATTGATTATTTCACTCACATTATCATCAAAATGCGATAATAATGTATTTGGTTGATTCAATGTATAGGTTCTATTTATAAATCGGGTTGGACAATCGACTCAAAACGCTACTTACAGGTTTCGTTCTGCTGTGACGTCACAAGTCTGTGAGGCTAATGGAGAAGACAAAAAATCTCTTATTTTTCAAATTTGTCGTTAAAACAGCATAATGCGGCTAAATGCAAACTTCATTTTATGTGACGTCATTCGGGGCCATATCACGAGCTAATCATAGAATATACATTAAAATACATCAGTTTCTAGGTAAAATATAAAAAATATATATACATAGTTGTTTTAAAATATATTTACCATTAATATTTTACAAATTGCATTTGCGTTGTAGATGTCTATGGACTCCGGTGACCACTTAACACCAGGTGGGCTGTGAGCTCGTCCACCCATCTAAGCAATAAAAAAATATTTAAATGCCCAATTGTTGTATTGGGCTTTAATCTTGAAAGCATAAGTAGTAACTAACTTATTACAAGACTGACGTTTAAGGGGTCGGCTACATTACGGCGTATATTATACAGCGTATAACTTTAGTGAGATTTTCTAAAAGGCTTCGTGTATGTATGAATTGTAAAAAGTGGAAAGTTTAACTGCATTTGTATGACAGAGGGTGCCTTGTCGTAAATTTCAAATTTTAACGCGCTACCTAAGATAATGTGACCCTACTGTTATGAATGATACGAGTTTATTGAACTAAATGTAAAAAGTGTATTGTAGTTATAGTAAGCGGCACGTTAGTTGGCAAGGTTTTGGTGTAATAGGGGTAATGTAGCACATAGTGCACATTGCAATAAAAAAAATTCACTTTTATTGCCTGCATATAATTTAATTTAATTTTATTCTTTTTTTTATTTGCCATAATTCATTTTTAAGCCTGTGTGTTTAGAAGAAAGTTAAATAAAAGAGAGGAATTCGTGAAGTGTATTAGGTGTTATAAATAAAATACAATTAAAACTTAAGAAGTTTATTTAAAAAAATATACTAAATATTAAAAATTATGTGTCGCCGTCGTCACTATCATTTTCTAATAATGCTACCCCTTGGATTAAATTTATGGTAGCACCTGAGCTGGTGGAAAGAGTTGGCTCCTCATCGTCGACATAACGAAGAGTCGCTGTCGTCACTGGCGTAAATAATAAAACGCTCAGTGACTGAATCGACTATATGGTCATTGGTATTTGGTCCTGGCATTGCAAACAAACTTAAAACAATAACACTCGTAACAAAAACTAAATTGAAAACAATAATAACAACTCGTAACAAAAACTCAATATAAACAAACTTTAGTAGGCGCATGTGTAACCGGGAGCGAACGGAACGTGGACGCGGTGCGGGAGGGGAGGGTCGACTGACTCACCAATCGCGCGCTCAGAACGGTGCTACGTCTTTCCCCGCGTCCCGCTTGACAACCAAAGAGACCTAAAAAACGACTTCTGCGCATCTAGCGACTCTTGTCAAGTTACGTGCCGGGGACTATACTACGCATTTAAATATTTCATAGTTTTATTTTTTTAAGAAGACAAATATGTAGTTTTATTTTAAATTATTATTTATTTTGTAATCATAAACCATTTCAATGTAACCATTAATGTAAAACATTGAAATAAAAATATTTTTCGCAGACATTAGTATTATTTCTCTAATTGCCTATCACAAAATAATATTACAGCTAAATTAAAACTGTAAAAACATTAACATTGAAAAAAAAAAATAGATTTGAAGAAAAATTTAATAATATATCACAGGAACGATTTTGACAAATGGAAATTATTCTTTAACTTTATTATATATATTATTATTGTTCTTTTATTCATTAGGGATTTTTTTATCGATATGTTTCTATCGATACTGAGAATTCCGTGGTTAGCCCTATTACGCGTACGCTATCACTGAGAAGGTTTTAATTGTGCAAGTGCCTCTCGAACAAGATCTTCTAGCTCTTTGGGCAAAACAGTTTTTGTTGCACCCTTACATTCGTTCGATAACGTATCACTATTCTGTTCGTCTCCGTTGTGCTGTGACTCGTCGTCGCTGTCTGAGAATCGATTATTGTCCTCGGGAGTGTGTTGTTGACTTTTTGAATCGTCCGACTTCGTGGAACTCGTTTCCGGAATAAATTCGTCTAGCAACATTTGTGACGGGAATATCGGAATACACTTCTGACCGTTGCACCAAGCCTCCAAAGTCTTCTCCAATTCTGTCAATCTGCTTGCTAGTATTCTGTAACGAAATATTTAGGCGTCAATAAATATATATTCCTGACATCTTTAAATGACTACGATGACTTTCAGGTTTATTCTAACGATAGTTGGTAGGTTAATTCATTAAGGTAATTTACAATAACATGATTCCGCGTTTTTCTATATTTTGTAAATTTTTGTATGTATGAGTATGAGGCCTAACGAAATAAATACATTATTAAAAGCTATTAACAATTTTGATCTTATCACTACCAGCGCAGTGTAGCTCAATGTATATTAATCTAACTTCAACACAGATAACAGGGTTATCTGTGAACTACAACAACTAAAATTTAGTTAGATTGCCTTTAATAATGCGTAATCCTTTTTTTTACATCAAAATACTGTTACGCCGGTAAGAGTAACAAACACCATCTATCGCCGAATAATCGAACGAATATCGTAGGATCTAGTAGCACCTAGAACGCTTGAGAAGTACAACGCCATCTATTGTCAGAGAGCGGAAACAATACTAGAGATGTGTGGAATACTCTCGATAGTTCTAGGGATGTGGTATCGGCTATAAAAGCGTTGCAGAGATGGCACGAAGCAGTCAGTAATCGGAACTACACGAAGCGAAACAGCGAACGGAACAGCTGAAGCGAAGCGGAAGAAGCGAATTGAGAATTTTAAAGTGTTTGTGAAGTGTTTAAGTGTTCTAAGTGTTGAATACAAGTTTTAGTTGTACTTTGGTGGAATTTTATTTATCCCGAACCCCAGCGCGTAACAATACCAATACTAACTGGTTGGTTTTCCTTTGATGCTGTAGAGCCGTCGACTTATCGTTCAAGGCTTCGAATAGTCCGAGGCAAACAGACTTCAGCTCGGCTGCTGAGTTGTGCTTGGAGTTCGATTTTAGGTTGTTTTCTAAAAATTCTTTAACTAACACAAAAGAAAAACATTACGATGAGAACGTACTGTATGCGCGCGAGTTCATGTCCATCAGGGCCAGAGGCGACGCGCGGGGGACAGCTCGCCCCACCTCCGCCCGCCTGCCCGCATTTGTCTGGCGTCGAGTGTTGTCCGTGACGGTTGTGACACGCGCTTATCGATATCGAAAATTTACGCTAACGCTATTGTGTTATTTAACCATAACTACTCCGCTTCCAACAAGTTCAGATAGAAAAAAAGATACATACTGATTCCGACTCTGATCTGTCGGTTGTCTTTTCATTCGATAGTGATTGAATTGGAATTTAATAAATATTTTTCTCTATTAGAAATAAAAAAAGTAATTACTTAACACAATTATTTTATTTCATAAATTGCAAAATTACCTTAAGTTACATTAAACCAAATTAACAGCTGTTGACTAAATCGGTAGTTATTATCGACATTACCATAATTAACTAGGTCACAACACTACTGCATTCCTCAGGATGGACATGAACTCGCGCACCTACATTAGCTGAATTAACGAAATTTGAATTTATTTATTTATTGGATAGATAACTGAAAGAGATCTGTTGTCGCTCGGATTTAAGTGGTTACAGGAGCCAATAGTTAACACAACGTGAATGCCACCAGCCACCTTTTTTTATTTATTGCTTGATTGGGTGGACGAGCTCACGGCCCACTTGATATTAAGTGGTTTATCGGAGCCCATGACATCTACAATGTAAATGCTGCCACCCACCTTGAGACATGAGTTGTAAGGTCTCACTTTAAACAGTACAACGGCTGCCCCGCCCTTCAAACCGAAACGCATTATTGCTTCACGGCAGAAATAAGCAGGGTGGTGGTACCTACCCGTGCGGACCCACAAGACGTCTTACCACCAGTAATTACGCAAATTATAATTTTGCGGGGTTTGATTTTTATTACACGATGTTATTCCTTCATTGTGGCAGTCAATCGTGAACATTGGTTAAGTGCGTATTTCATTAGAAAAATTGGTACCCGGCTTCGAAATGATACGCATCGTTGCTTCTAGGCAGGACCCCATGCGGGCTTGCGTCACGCTCTACCACCAGTACAACTTAAACGATCAATTACCTTGTTTTTGGGTCATGACGTCAGCGAAACCTTTTTTCAAATGAACAGAATAGTTTCTACTCCTGTTATCCAATAGAGTCTGAAAAATAAATTAAGCGTTATCCGCAGTTTCCTCTACACAATGCCATCAGCGATAAGCGAACAACGGCTACGACTGTTCGAATTATTTACATGATTATATTCTACGTGGAACGATGTTTGACATAAAAAGCCACATTAATTAATATTACTGAATTTACAGAAATTATTTTATACTTATATAAATAGATGAAAATGAAAATTAATTACACACATAATTAATTTAATTTTTATTACGAAAACTGATCAGGTGTTGCATGAACGGACCTACCTTATATTTACTTAAATTACGTTTTATAAGTTCGTTCTCTATTTGCAGTTGCGTTATTCTCTCGTGTAAATATTTGTTTTCGGCTATTAAAGCTTCGATATCGACTATCGGACTGGGAGCGGCGCTTTCGCCCTCCCCCGTCGGCAAATTACTTCTGTTCGACAGCAGATAACTGATTTGGTGGTTCAAACGTTGCACTTTGTTCTTATAGTAATCTCTATCAGACACCAATTCTTCTTTTTCATCTAACGTAGCCCTGTAATCTAGTTGTATCTGCTGGTACTGTAGATAAATAATTCGTATCCAAATTAATGTATAAATAATAGACTAATATTTCAGGGCTTTAGGCCTACGGATCTTATATGGTAACATGTTTGGATAGGGCGTATTAAAAGATTAGTTAATTAAATTAGCTTGAGAAACCCGGGTCCTGTATCCAGGAAATAGTACAGCCATGTTCCCTTCACAGGAAGCTCTCAAACTAATCCCACTTTGATTATTAACGGTAGAAAGTATTTTGAACCCGCACGGACTTAGATAATCTCCGACTTAGTTTTACAGTCAATAAATACATTGGTACCAATTTGAATCTCTTCAATTAAATCGAGATTTTAGTTCGGCAACTACATTTTTGAGTCGGTAACTCCTGTGGGGTAATGGGGTTACCGAGTTTTTTGGGCGTTAACTAATGTTGTCTTCACGCTAGAAAAAGATCGCAATGACGCGGTGACGATAGCAACGCGTGCGGGCTAGCAAAACATTTTTTTTATTGCCCTTGTAGGCAAACGAGCATACGGCTCACCTGGTGGTGAATGGTTACCGTCGCCCATGGACTTCAGCAATGCAGCAGCAGAGTCAAGCCGCTGTCTACCGTTAAGTACTCTCTATAAGCGGCGTTTGAAGAAGGATATGTATGTCATATCATCATAAGAAATATGTAAATTAGGGGAAACAGTGGAGAACGTAGGTAGTATTGTATTTTCTTAGGTTTTCTCGAGTCTTAGGGATACTTAAAACTTTTTATATAGAAAAATATACGGTAGTTAATAAGTTATTGAAATGTCGACGAATAATAATCGAGTCGTCCGCTAACATGAAAAGCGGTTCGAAGCGTCGGAAATAATGTAATAAATAAATAACTGAGAATAAATCATGTAGGGTCATCCGGCCCCTTTCAAACTAGGTATGAGGAGTCTTTCGCATTAGGTTTCACTGTGTCCCTGGCAATCACAGAACACTATTACTTCTAGCGAAGCTGGCAATGCCTCAAGTTTTTACTGGTGCTAGGACCTCTTGTGAGTCCGCGCGGGTAGCTATCACCACCCCGCCTATTTCTGCCGTGAAGCAGCAATGCGTTTCGGCTTGAAGGGTGGGGCAGCCGTTGCAACTATAGTTGAGGTTAGAACTTATGTCTCAAGGTTGGTGGCGTATTTACGTTGTAGATATCTATGGGCTCCAGTAACCACTTAACACCAGGTGGGCTGTGAACGCGTCCACCCATCTAACAAAAAAAAAAGTTTGCTCGTCTGCCTAAAATGAATGAAATGGCAACTTAATTAAATACCACATCCGATTGTTTAAATTTAATTATTGTAAGTCCGAATTATTTTTACCGGCTACCTTTTTCTTCATTTTTTCCAAATCGTTAACTAAACGCTCGTAATCAACGGCTGTGTACGTTGTATCGTTGCTTAAATCTTTATTGTCATATCCTTTACATGGCCTTGTATTTTGTAATTGTTTCCTGAGTACCAAGATGTCTCCAGCTGCCTCTTCCAACTTACTCCGCAACATTTCGACCTGTGTGATTTTATAACGACTTAAGACTGGGCGGTAAATACCTATACTCTTTTGCCCATTAATGTCAATGAAAACAATGACACAATAAAGAGTTAAAAACTGTTTTAAAATAATACGTTTTTATTTTATCGTTTCCTTTTAATACATATTCATTTACCTCAACTTTTAGCATGTTATTGTGGTCTTTGGTTTGTGCAAACATATCGCCATTACTTATAGTGTTGGTTGGAGTAAATCTGTAAGCGTTGTTATTTTCCGCAATTTTGGAGGAAACTACTTTTTTGGATTTCAAATGTTCAACTAGAACCTTGTATTTATCACGCTCCATACTACATTTATCTAATTCCTTACTCATTATGCAGAGAGCATCAACTTTGCTTTGCAACTTGCTCTTCAAAACTGAATTCTGAAATTACAAGCACTTTCGTAAGTAAAGTCCATTTTTAATTAGATTGATATACATTCCAACTACTCCACATTCGATGTTTCACTCTAAACTTTTTTACTGCGCAAGTATTTAAATTGAAGATAATGACTTTTACCTCAAGGACATAGTCATCCAATTGCTGATCTTGGAATTTCACTTTGATTGCAGCTTTATTAAACATTGTACCTAACTGGTTTATAATTTGAACGAAGTAAAATGAATTTCAAGTAACATAAAAATTTATATAAACAGTGTTTGACAAACGTAACATGGCACGAACGACTACAGCTGGTGAAACTGAAATATTGATCGTCTGATAACACATTCGTGTTTAGCGCTCCGGATGTTAATCATTTTTTTATTTGTTTCGTGCCTTGAAAAGGCAACAGTAACGTTGCCCATACAGTCCACTCAACAAATAATCCATTTGAAATAAAACTTTCGGTTTTCGTAACTAATTTATGTGTATTATTTATGGCTTTTAGTACGACAAACATGGGTTTAGTCGTTTACAAAACTTTGTGTATAAGAGCTGCGTTTCTTTATTTAATAGGCGTTTCAGTAAAAATACTATAATTAACTGTCATTTCAGTTAGAGCTTTGCATAGACCTTTCAAGGAGCTTTGGCGAGAATGTGAAGTATATTTTAGTTGTTAGAAACGATTTATTTCTTTTTTACCGTTCCTGTAACAATTATGATTATCAACTACACCATCGTTGCACATTCTCGGGTTCCTCCAGAAAGTTCAATGAAATATCATCGTTAATTACATTCACCGTGTAATAAAAATTAAACCTGAAAAATTATAAATTGCCTCATTATTAGTCCACAAGGGTACTATCACCCTGCCTATTTCTGACGTGAAGTAGTATTGCATTTTGGTTTGAAGGGTTTTACTGTACCTATACACTGACTACTTAAAATACATGTTTCAAGACGGGTGGTAGTATTCACGTTGTAGATGTCTATGCGTTCCGGTAAGCACTTAACACGCCGTAAGCTATGAGCTCGTCCATCGTTTAGTGAAAGGTAATTTCATTTGGTCCAACGCCCATAATGTAGAGGTATATTACCTCATCTAATTTCTTACGATTTAAAATTTAAATTTTTTTGTACCATTTCACCTAACAAGCATAGCTTTGGCCAACGGTTCCAAAAGAAGCTATAGTAGCAACATTTACATTGCTTATCCTATAGAAAAAACAAACAAACAGTAATGTCAGTTCAGTCAATTGTCAATTAATCAAAGTAGCGAAATGAAATCGCATGAAGTTAGGACGTGTGGTAAAAGTCGGGCAGTTTGGTTTTCTTTTGTGTTTTGATACATATCCTGAATGTGATTACAAGTTGTTTTTATAAACGAACATTATTTCGATGCCATGCGCACGGAGCGGGTGCATGGGGATAGGTTTCATCGAGCCTAACTCATGGCAAGGATGGCTGCATCTGGTACGGAGATCGAAGACTTCTTGAACGGGCCTCTGATTTCGTGGGTGAGTGCACAAAGATCCGTAGTTTGTGTGTAAGAAAGAAGCGTGAGACAAAATCAGTTAACCGTTCCATACCAATGAACGTGTTATTTTTAGTATCGATTTCTGATATGAATTGTATTAAAAGTTCATTCGATCTGAATACTAAAACTAGTAGAACAATTAATTGATTACTATAGTTTCTTTATTAAAGATTAGTTGAGAAATTTGGTTAATCAAATTTATAACATTAAATTAGTAAGTAGTATTACATTACATACATTTGTTTTTGTTATGAATTTAAATCTAAGCATTTATATAAATTTACTATAAAGTTATCTACTTTTTGATAAGGAACTGTGACAAGAAACTGGCCCAGATAATAAAGTATATTATAATAAATATAGGTTTATCCAAATAACTGTTGTTTAGCTACAGTTATAAAAAATATAATAAATATATCATGAAAATAGTTACATATATTGAATATCATTGCTACTACTTTAGTTTATAATTTTAAAATTCTGATTCACAACTTGGTAATTAAATTCATATCATAAAGTCAATAAGGTGAGAATAACTTCAAAAAAATAAAAATCTCTAGAGAATATATTTTCTCTGTGCTATATTCTACAACACAGTTCCCATACATTACAATATAGCCTACAGCTATTATGGCAAGATTAAACTTTCAAAAGCAGTTGTGTAATAATGTTATGGATTTATGTATTGAATGATTAACACAATTGAAGTCAAATAATATTTAAGTTGAATGTATTGTTGTCATCAAGTTAGATAATGGCATTAAGCTTCACTGCCTTAATTTTTTTTAACAATATCGTCAGTCTTATTTTGTAAAATTAGACTATGTTAATATAATATTGATCCTGACAAATGTTAATGTTGTTCACAGATAAAATCATGCATATCAAATCCAGAATCAGTGTCTGGGTATCAATTTCTTTTCAATGGAGACATCCTTCACCAAGTTTATCTTCAGATAGACCCAGAACCATCATACCATATCACAAAATTGTCAGGTCTCGAAGACCAGGCTTTGATACTTGGTAGAGTTAAGAACTTTGATGCTATCATTAAAAATGTGAAAGCATTGTATGAAGAGGAGTTGGGAATGACACTTTTAGTGGTCCCAGAATGCATATGCCTTGGAAAAGCTCCGGAATCCAGGGAAGGGCTGGAGAACATGAAGTTGCTTGTGTTACTACTACTTGGTGCCGCTGTTCAGTGTCCAAATAAAGAAATATTCATAACAAGAATTAAAGAACTTGATTTGGAGCTACAACACAGCATTGTGGAATGCATCAAACAGGTATTTCAAACCATTGCTAGTTAACAAGCCTTTTTTTTAATTACCTATTAATATTTCATAAAAAAGTATATTCTAAATTATGACAATACTAAATTATCATATCGACTAAGCCGCCTGAAAGGCAAACGTGACTAAGCAACAATGCATGAACTTTACAGTAGATTAATTTAAAGTTGAAATACCTGAAAAAAATTCTATTTTAACAAATCTAGCTGTAGGATTGAAATGATTTTAATAGACCTAGAAATATATTTTTTTGCGCATCGAATATGGTTATTGCCTATCATTTATGTATAAAGCAGTTATTGTCGCTTGGTCACGTTTGCCTTTCAAGCGTTGATATGATGTTAAGTGTGAATGTTTTTTTTAATCAGTACAATTCTTAACCTGCATTAAAGGAGTTCAATAAGCATACATGTAGTGAAGAGAAGATACAAGTCCATAAAACCTAGATGAATATAATTATTAAAATAAATATTGGTGCTAGGACTAACAGTCAGCTACATTGGTGGCTACTTTGTACCTTATACCTTGGATACCTTATACTATAAAGTATTAAGTACACTTTTTTGACACAATACATACAATACTTTTTGATAGAATAAATTTGGAGAATTGAAGTGTTCTTCATTGGATAGTATGCACTATATCTGGATAGGGTGTAAAGTATATAACTGTTCTCAAGCTGATAATGTAAACAATAAATACTCTTTTTCTTAGCTAAGCAGAAATATCTTCAGTGACTTTTGTCTTATTTATACCATAGATTTAGTGAACAAGCTGTTCATTATGATCAATGTTAATCTCTGATTACTTGTTATATTGTGTAGAAAAAAGTATAAATGAAATATAATTTTTTCCTATGCGGATTCCTTAATTTTATTGCGGCAGAGATCATATTTATATTAAGCCTGGATGGATATTAAGCATGGATTGATATATCAGAATGGATGTGTTTGATGTATCAAAAAGAGCTTTACTGGTGACCGCACCACATATTGTCGGTCCGAGTCGTTTTTTTCACAAATTGGTTTTCAATTCGACTGGAAGGGAGGAACAGACTTTGTATAATATAGTTGAGTCTTCAACACAGGTTTGAAGGTGGATGACAGTTCTGGTATCAAAGATCTTACATTGTTATGTTCGTGTAGAGGACAGAACCTCATTCATGAAGTTTTCGCACCTGCAGGGAGCGCGGGGTATGTGGGTCTTGACGGTGAGCAGATGTAGGGAGTGGACCCAAGAATGTTTTTAAAACCCTACCCACTGGTTCAATCTGAGAGAATTTGCTGACACTAGTCCTAGCAAGAGCAGTACTTTGCAGGATCTACCATCGAATCGCTATCGCGACCCACTGAGCAGATCAGGCGAAAAAGTATATGAATATAATATGGGGTAGTTCGACGAGGCGGTAACCGGTGCTTGAAAAGCCTAATAACACCGAGAAGTAGGATCCTGGAAATCCGACAAGACGTGTTTCTGGCGACGACGGCTTTGCGTTGCCCCGTAGCTCGGATATGTAATCAGTAGAAATGTGAGTTATCGTGTCGTGCCATTTTGTCGAAGTGGCGTTCTGACGCTAACTTAAGATACGTACCTACGTATCGATTCTAAATTTAGATCGTCGTAAAGATCGACATTCCTCACGTACCACGGTGCACCGACGGCTATATTGCAGAAACGGGAACTTCCTATGAAAAGGCAATTTACTTTGCTTGCAGAGACTTAGAGTCAACCAAGTACGAACGCAGCTCGGTGGCGTATTGACTTAACGTGAGGAACGAATGTTATCCCTCTGTCCAGGGTGACGCCTAGGTAGTAGGTAGTTGGCCTTCGAGGTCTACGGTATGGGCCAAAAATTTTGATGGCGGAAATGGAGCTACCGCATCTAATTCTGAACGAGATATTAGCAATGGTGTCGGGAATCTGATGTCCGATCTACGCCCGGGGTCAAAATCCGGGCAGAGTAGGGAGGTTCCCGCGACCAACACTACAAATCTGTTTGTAGTGTTGGTCGCGGCGCTATCCTGAGGACGCCCGACTCGTCGAAACATTCGTCGTGGACTAACGACACCGGTCTTCGCGGTACGACGGCTCGTCAGGCCGCCCGCGCGGTGCCGCTGGTGTTCCGGAATACCCCGCTGGGTATATGCTCCGAAAACCACTTAACAACAAATGGAGCATGAACTGTAAACCCATTTAGTATCTTTAAAAAAACAGAAGTATAAACAGTATTTTTTTTATCCAATAACTAATTTTAGAACGCTTTCAATATAATATCAAGCATCGGCTCTGTCTGTTGTCCGTTCTGAAAATGAAATCGACTCTACGTGCGAGAGCAATCTGGGTTGCTTGACGCTAGATACTTTAATCAACAGTATGAATTGATCCGGCGTGAAATTTAGCAAATATGTTCGAAACATAACTTACAACGAATAAATATAGATTTCAAATGTAAAACATAAAACCGAGTTATAGATAAAACGACTATTAACTCTTTTGTTCTAGTTACACAAATTTATGACCGCATTATCAAGTGCTTGACAAGTTTTAGGTTGCATAATTTTTTTGTGCAAGCGGCCCCGACTTGTACTTAGTTGTGACTAAAAAGATATTTGAATTTTATGTTGCTTCATTAAATAAACTTGACTTGCGTTATTAACTTGATTTGCGGCCAGTTAAATTGTCCACATTCTTAGTTAATTAGCTGAGAAACACACTGGAACTGTATATCTTAAATGCATCACATTGTGTTCAACGAGGACGGAGAGAAAAGTACAAATAATGAATATTTACCGCCATCCGGTCATTGTCGAACTCGTCGCTTGCGACGAAGGGCTCGACGAGTAAATTAACCCAGCCCACTGAGTTTCTCGACGAATCTTCTCAGTGGTTTGCATTTCCTATCCGGTGGTAGATTCTGCGAAGCACGGCTCTTGCTAGGGTTTGTGTTAGCAACGTCGTCAGGTCTGAACCCCGTGAGCTCACCTACTAGTTAAGGTTACGCTGAGATAGCCTCTCAAGGCTATCAGCTTAGGTAGGAAAAAAACTGCCATATTCGTGAATTAGGAGCCGACTGTATAGTTAATTTTGTTATATCGAAGCCCTTACGACTCTTGTAATTGTTCCATAAGAGTCCGGGTCTATAAAGCTACAGGCCACCGAAGTACGGGTGGTCGGTGTCATGTTTCAGGGTGGGTGTACGGTATTTATGTTATGGTGTCTTTGTGTCTTATTACCGGGTAGGCCGTGAATTCGTTTACCAAACTTTGTTTTCTCGTTCATCGTCCTTGTGCAATAACACAGTACCAATCCATTTTAAATGTGGTGCTGGCCTCGCATATTGGGTACACATTCCGTAGTCAGCTAAACATGTCTATCCTTATGGAGCTAAATACTTCGCAGATGTTTGAGCGCCTGAGAATTAGCCGCAGTAGTTTAGCCATACCTACACCTATTTAAAGTAAAACTGATATTGTGTTTTGTTTAAACCAACTATGAATAACTAAAATTTTTATTAGTATCCGTTCACTCATATATAGTTTGGATCTGCTACGCGTTAGTGTCGTATTACGGGTTATGTTCGAGTACTTAATATTCAATTCAATGCTTGTTGATTGATCAGGCAATACAATACATTGTGTTTTTTTAATAAGATAATAAATGTATTCAAAGTGACTTTATAGCACGTAGCTAAGCAACCAGATTCGTCTTTTGGTATTGACTTTACACAACTCTGCAATCTATTAGAAAATATGAGTAATTTAACCCTGACCTTGAGCTACTGCCGTATTTTTTCCGTAGTATTTACCGCTCTATTTTCTTATAAAACTCCCCCTACTCTCTATCGTGACTACTAGTCCTAAAGCGTAGAGTGCACATCGAATTCTTGTCCACTTCTGCCACAAGCCAGTCATGCCTTCCGTTTTGAGACGTGTGTTAGGCGTATTGTATTTATTCTAATGAGTCCTACACTGAACGTCCAAAGTTGGAAAGGGGCGCTCATCCCGCGGTGTCCGCTGACTCCAGTAAGCTCTTAAGACGTCAGACCTTAGCTACATATTAAGTCTAAATTTTGAAGGTGGGTGACAGCATTCACGTCGTGATGTCTATAGGCTACAGTAACCACTTAACAGGGAAGTGACCGTCGTTTTGTACATGTATTGAGTAAAACGGAAAAAGATTTAAGAGTAAAAAAAATACACAGAGGGAACGTCATTATACATTGTTTATTTTAAAAATGACCGACTCGGTTGTGCAATAGTTAGCGCCCCTGACTGTTGCGCCGGAGGTCTGGGTTCGATTTCCACATCGGGCAAACCTTCGTGTGATGAACAAGTTTGTTTATTCTTGGTCTGGGTTTTTATTATCTATATATATATTAGTATATATTTATAAACGTATATAAGTATTTATGTCAGTCTCTGATAACCCTTAACACAGGGAATCTTTATTTGGTGCCGGATGATCATGCTTGATTTGTTCCCGGTTATTTATTTAAGAATAACTTCACAGGTGACAGACATGCAAACAGTGGTATTGACCCCGGATGCGATAGATCTCTTCCAGTCACCGACAATGTTCAATCATATGCGACGACTTGCCAAAGAACGAGACCATTATCTGCAAAATTGGGCTTCCTTAGTACTGCAAGATGGGCTTTGTGAAAATGAAAATGAGGTCAAGAATGGAAAAAATCGATCAACCCAGAATGTAAATCAAAGCAACGGCGATAGTCAACATTTAGCTGTTGAATTAGCTGACTGGAAAGCAAGGCTACGGAAGCAAAGGCAGGAACTGTAAGAGTATATTTATGTAAAATCTTTTATTACTTGTACTGATGGACAAGTGTTAACAAGATCATAACTGCGATACATGCAGTACGATATTGAAGAGTAATAAATGTTTATTCTTAGAAGCTATGTTATTGGCCCCATTCTTTCTAACATTCCTTGATTAGAAGTAATGTTTTATTAAAATATAAAGCCAAACTAGTCAAACTATGTCTACATTGAAAATATTTATAATAAATAATATGTGTTTTTCTTACAGTGAAGAAAAATCTGAACAGCTTGTAGAATGTCGTGAAGAATTAGAACACACTAAGTTAGTGTTAGGAAAGTTGAGAACAGACAGCCAAGAATGGTTCAATGAAGCAAGAAAAGCTACTGGCTATAGAGATGAAGTTGATGCGCTTAGAGAAAAGGCTGAACGATGTGAAAGGTAAGACTTTTTAAATAATATTTTTGAGCCTTTAGTAATCAGATGAAACTGAAATAAAAATAATAATAAATATAATAATTATAATTTTCAGATTAGAACAAGAAATTCAGCGATACCGAGATAGATTGGCAGATGCGGAGTATTATAAGACGCGTGTGTCAGAATTGAGAGAAGATAACAAAGCCTTAATGGAAACTAGGGATGCACTTGAGGAACAACTGCAAAGGGCTAGAAAAAGAGCAGAGCAATGCCTCAATTTAGAAGCAGCTATGATCAAATTAAAAAGGGAAGCGAACGACATAGCATTGGTAATTCATTTATTCACCTTTAAAAATGTGTAAAGCAATTATTTTTTTAAGATCATAAAGTGTTAATAAAAAATACGCTTCTTAACAGGAAAGAGATGCAGATCAGCAAAAAATACAAGAACTCATTGAAGAAAACAACCATTTGCAATATATTACTCGGTCTATGTTAAGTGAAAGTAACAATAGCAATCTAGATACAGACAATGAAGGAGAGAGTACTCTAGAATCTGGAGAAAATAGTTTATCAGAACAATTAACGAGTAATGCTCAAGCGAGGGCACTGAAGTTAGAATTAGAAAATAAACGGCTCCTCTCGACAATAGACAACTTACGAGAACAATCATTATTAGAAAGCAGTGATAAAGTATTGGAATTAGAAAAAGAAAAGAAAAGGTTGGCATTGAAATGTGAACAACTCCAAGAAAATTACAACAGGCTTGTACAACAGAATTCGGAACTCGAGGATGTTTTTAAAAATGCCCTAGAAGAGAACAGAAAATTACAAGACTCATTGGACAGTCAAAAATCTTTTATAGATAGGCAGGCCATAGATAGAGAATCTGAAAAGAGTAAACTTCAAGATTTCGAACGACATTTAGAATCGCTTACCAAGGATAAGCAACGTATACAAATGCTCTGTGACTCAATACAGAGAAGGGCTGATGAACTAGAAAAAACCTTAGACACCAGAAACAAAGAAGTCAATATTCTTAAGCCGGAAGCCGATAAGGTTACTGGACTAATTATCCAAACAGAAGAACTTAAAACAAAATTGACTTACAGTGAAAGAGACACGCACAATCTACAAAGAGAAGTTGGTAAATTAAGAGAAGCCGTAGAAGAAAAAGACGTAANAATACAGAGAAGGGCTGATGAACTAGAAAAAACCTTAGACACCAGAAACAAAGAAGTCAATATTCTTAAGCCGGAAGCCGATAAGGTTACTGGACTAATTATCCAAACAGAAGAACTTAAAACAAAATTGACTTACAGTGAAAGAGACACGCACAATCTACAAAGAGAAGTTGGTAAATTAAGAGAAGCCGTAGAAGAAAAAGACGTAAATTTGGACAAGTTTACTAGCGAACTTGAGTTAAAGAAAAAAGAAATTGAAAGATTAGTCAAAGAATTAGAAACAAATCACAATATAGCCAATAGATTACAGGATCTTGAACAAAAAACCCAGGAATTAAAATCACAAAAGAAAGTTGACACTGAAACTATACAGACACTGCAGAAAGATTTAATATCCGAAAAAGTTAATTTTGATAAATTGAGGAATTGTGTAGAGAAACTTGGTATACGTTCGACAGAAATAATATCCAAAGAAGTTAACGTAGAAGATCTATTGGAAAAAATTATCACAAACAGTGATTATGAAGGTTTAATATCTGAAATTGCAGCCAAAGCAAACTTACTGAAATTAGTACCATGTGATTGCAAACATATAGAAGAAATTGACAAAGAGGATGATGTAGTTAATCCTCAAATTGAACAGCTCACGGCAGATCTAATTGCTTTACAAGCTTCTCTCGAAAGCAGTCAAGCTGAAAACGCTAAATTGCAAGTGAATATTGCTACGCTGAATTCGCAAAACGGGTCATTGATTTCGCAACAAATGACATTACAACTGGCTAATAGCCAATTGGCTGCGGAAAAGGAAGAAATTATAAAACAGTTAGAAATACTGAAGGACAAACAAGACAACCTGTTAAGAGACCAGGTTGCTCTGCAGACATTGCACGAACAATTGAATACAGAGTACGAAATGCTCCTTAGTGAGAGAGAGCCAGTGAAAGTTACCATTAGGGATTTAAAACTTGAAAATAGAGAGTTAAAAGAAAAACTAACGCATTGTGAAAAAAAAGTATATGATTTTGAAAAAGAAAGGGACAACTTGAAAACAGAGTCTAGAAACTTGATAAATCTTAGGGCAGAACACTCCAAATTGAAAGATGATTTTAGAAATCTTTTTACTGCTAGCGATAGATTGAAAAACGAATATAGAAACATGCAGGAAGAGTACAGAAAATTGAGAAGTGAAGTGTCGCATTTAAAATTACTTAACACGGAAATTTCTGGGGAAGTCAATACAAAAGTTGAAATTATCACGAGCTTGGAACTAGAGATTAATAAAACAAATCAACACTGTGAAATGTTGATACAAATGAATAAAAGCTTAGATGCCGATAGGCGTTCGTTAATGGATCACGTGTCTCAACTTTTGACCCAATATCACGAGTTACTCGCTCATTCGTTGAAAGATAAACAGCATTATCACGAAGAAGAGAAAATGTTCGCCGACAAAGTTAATGCACTATGCCGTCAAAAGGAAAAACTGGAAGAAAAAATAATGGAACATTATAAGAAGTTAGATAACTGTACAACAAAACGACGTGGTTTCGGAGCTTCATTCGTTAAGAGGGTACGGAAAGCCGGGACAGACTTAATAAACAAGGTTCCATCGAGAAATAACAAAAGAATCGAAGATGCCTCCAGTTCTAAATCACAACTAACTTTAGCAGGCTCCGAATCAGGAGAGTCAGATCCAGGTAGTCAAGAAATTGAGAAAACGTTGAAAATGTCTGATTTTGATCCCGCGACATCTAATCATAGCGTTGAATCGTCTAGACACAGTACTGAAGCGAGCTTCAGTCGAAGATTTGATGATAAACTATTAAAAAAATCAGAAAACATGGAAATGTCCGGGTCTATTAATAGCTTGGATTCTACAAGACTTACCGGTGACAATAATTTCGCAAGAAGATTATCGACAACGTCCATACATAGCGGAGGCGGAGATGATGCTCTAATTAGAGCATCGTTACGTAGAAGACCACATAAAACTGTGCCTCCTTCTCATCGTAACAGCTTTCAAGGTATAGAAAGCGAATCGGGTTTGCCGACAGGTATATTCTACTGACTTCATAATATTTATTACATATCCTCATAGAGATATAGTTTATCTGTAAATATATTTGCTTCTATTTTACCTTTCAGCTTCAACACCGACGCCGGTATTCGGTACAGCTGGTACTCGTCGCACTGTGTATGTTGCAGACGAAGAGGCTAATGTCAACCTTGATTCAAAGCCGCAAAGTACACCGATAAAAGAGAACCCGACATATTTAGTATACAACAGAATATCGACGGTTATCGGCGACGGCGCTTGTCAAAGTTTGAATGAAAGACCAACGTCTGAAAGGCCTGGTCCAGACCAACCTCACACGGTCGATGATTCTACTCAAGATAGAAATGAAGCAAGACACGACCGGAGATCAATAAATCGTAACGAAAACACGGAGAATTCTAAAGAGTCCGCGATATGGTACGAATACGGATGTGTCTGATGCAGTGGTTTGTGGTGTAAAAAAGACTGAAGCCATGCCTTGTATTTCGAATGTATTTATATGATCGAATTATGTAACCTCATGACCAGGATATTATTAATACTTTTGAATTTATATTTGCAATTTTTAGTATTGTGATAAGATTTGGAGAGCAGTATTAGCTTGGCATTTAACCGAATGACTATTAGTCAGAAATATAAAGAAAATACATTGTATTTTTGTCACAATATAGTGTAGTCTTCGTATATTTTTACTTTATAGAGGCTTTTCTTTTATTTATTTGAATACAGCTTCAAAGTCTGATGACTTATTACGACTATGTACTGTATAACCCTATAAACAAACTAGAATATTGTTTTATTTTTTGGTTTAGTGTAACAATATGTACAATACTAACAATGACAAATTTTAACTATTGTTTTAGTTGTTTCGTAGCATAAATTAGAATAAACATAGGATAAGAAGGGCTCAGTGAAAAAAAGTGGTTTAAATAACAAAATCTACTGGAAAATTAAAACAGCTTTTAAAACAGCAAGTGCCTGATAGCTCTGAGTTTTGACTGAAAATTTCTTTATTCTGAAATAAATTATCTGAGTGATCTACATTTTTTGACACAAAGAATATTTTCATTTATTATAATGTATACTATTTATATTGGTGAACCATCAAATTGGAGATTCAGTTTATTGTGTATTTTATTAGCTTATGTTAGTTGAATCGTTTTTACACTCATTCCTTCAGATAATTTTTCGATTCGTTTTTTACCTTACTTTACCTTACCTTAAAATTTACATCAATTGTACTTTAGTATAATATTGAAATGTGATTTAATAAACGTATGTTTTGTTTATTTTCTTCAGTAATTCGTTTAGTTTACATTTACATGATAATATAATAATTATAAACATTTTTTAAATATGCCAGTCATGTCATGACAATATTTAATATTGATCACATTCGCTACGTAAAGCAGCTAGCTAGTAAAAGCAGCATAGTTTATCTTTGGGTAACGTTTTCATTACTCTTTATTATATAGGTTACAATGTAATTCCCCAAAATGTAACATCACACACAGTTTTCTGATAAAAATTAATTAGACGTTTTAGAAACACTAACAATAAGATGAAAACAAATTAATTATGGACTTCTTTTCTATCTACTCTATATCTATATAAGTTTATTTTCATAATTGAGTTCTCTATAATTTACTGTGATTTCATTAATTGGTACTTATCTTTTTGAGGTGCTAAAGTAATAAATTATATTCACTTAAAATAGAAACTAGAAATTAGGAGTTTTTTTGCAGTGTACTGCACAGCTACTGAAGATGTCTCACCGAATTTATCTTTGCCGCACAATTTATTAAGCAAAGTATCAATAAAAAATATATTTCTTAATTTACTTAGTTTTATTGACTCAACACAATAATGCTATTCATATTATTATTTTTAATAACCAATCAATACAAATTTCTAATTACTTTCTGGTTATTGATTAAGTCACTAAAAAAGAAGGAAAAATAATCAGTAAAATAAATTTTGGGAGCCTAGTTTATTTTATCACAATATTGCCATTTTTTGGGCTACTGAGCAATTATGCATTCCAGTGTGAAGGATTACATGGCAGTTGCAAATGTAACTTTAATCTTATCTCTAAGATAGAAACAGCCAGTAGCATTATATGTTGTGGTGTCTATGGGATCCAGTAACTGCATAGTACAGAATGGAACATTAAAATTTATTCATCAGCCTAGCAAATACAAGTATAAGACTGATTCTTTTTTAAATCAATACATTTTTTCACATAACACTCCTATAATCAGATCTAGTTATTTAAAATTAACTAAGATATCCATTACAGTTTGATTCAGCCACCTCCCACTGTATTACTGGGGACTCTTGAATTGCAATCTTAAAGGGATGTCCCGAGACAACAGCCTTATGTCCTGGCTCTACATTTGGAGGTAGATGTGAGATAATGCACTAGAACAGAAAGCAAAATGGAATTATAAATTTATAGGATTTTATTTTATTATATGTTTTTCATTTTATTATGTCAATGACGGCATCCTACCTTTGGTCTATCTGTTTCTGAAGACATGTAACCCACGCACATTGTTTTAGTTGTGTGACCCCATAAAACTTCACCATCTCCAGTTTGTGGGTCATGCCTTAGAGCTAAAGCTCCGCACAGTCTTTCGGGTACATCCCATAAGAATGGTGAATGTAAAAAATTTTTCTTCAGGCATTTATCTAGACTTTCAGTTGGGGATGGGGACTCAAACAAACTTTCTGCTGTGTTTTTTGCAAGCTGTGTTCTTATTAAATGCTCCCCACATCCTGATGTGCATGATGCCACAGATGACTTTATTCCATCTCTACTCATTAAAGCCCAAACCCCACTTCCAAAAGAAGCAGCTTGTCCGACCCTACCTTCATGTTTTAAAGAAACCCCTCCTGAACTAGCACCAGCTGCTACAACACCATTAATGTCCACACAAATTGCTCCTACTGTATCTAGAGGACTAAATTTTACATCATTTTGTATTGAATACTTTTTAAGTTTTCGCTTGCAATGCTTAAAGTTACGAAATGCTCTTGCAGAAATCATTTTGTGATCATCCACAATTTCAAGGCCCATTCTTTGTGCCCATGATCGGGCACCTTGTCCAGTGAGTATACAAGGTGGAACTCTACCCAAAGACAAACTGTCACATTGTTTAATGCAAAGATTCTTGGCCAGTGTNTCATTTTGTATTGAATACTTTTTAAGTTTTCGCTTGCAATGCTTAAAGTTACGAAATGCTCTTGCAGAAATCATTTTGTGATCATCCACAATTTCAAGGCCCATTCTTTGTGCCCATGATCGGGCACCTTGTCCAGTGAGTATACAAGGTGGAACTCTACCCAAAGACAAACTGTCACATTGTTTAATGCAAAGATTCTTGGCCAGTGTAATAGGATTCCAAACATTTGAAACAGCACCACAAGCTCCAAAATGTAAAGTTTGACCATTCATAAGTGATGCATCACACTCTACAGTACCATCCCAAGTTAGGTTTGATCCATAACCAGCATTGCTTAATGGACTGTTTTCCAATTCTGTAAAATAATAATGTAGTAGTTAATTTACATTAGTAATAAATGTAAATTAAGATAGTAGAGATTCAACAATAGATAATTAATTCAAATTTGTTTAAATTAAAATATATAAATCATAAAGTAATATTACATCTATTTACCAATTATGGCTTTTTCAACTGCATCCACAGCATTTCCACCTTGTTTTAAGATTTCGCTAGCTTTTCTGCAGGCCTGATTGCACGTTTTCTGATACTCTTTTCTTAAATTTTCACTGTGATATCCGGCGCCTACAATAAGCATTCTTATTATTTTATGACTTTAGATAGAGAATCGTTTATCTGGTTAATCGTTTTCTTACCGCAATGCACGGCTATGAATCCATTCATATTTAAACTTCTTAAAAAATAAGTATAGTGTAAAACAGTTTTAAACACCTAGCCTTTTTTAAAATATAAATATTACAGATCAAGTCAAGTCATTAACGATGGTTAATTAATTCTATAAGGTGATACTTTATTTTTTAGAAGAAAATTGATGTTGAATCAATCATATTTAATTTTTCGATTCATACATTTAAATTGTAAGATGTCGACAATATTTATAGACGAATAAAATGTTTATTTATATTGAGAAAGGCTTGTGGACATGTATCGATGGGTAAAGTATCGTATTGTTAAGTTCGAATAATCGATTTTTGTTCAGACTAACAAACGAAAGTTTTTATTAATTATGGTTTGCTTGTTGATTTAAAGATATTTGTAACACAAATAATATTTTTTCATTATTGTATTACAAATATACCAACTTATTGTTATTTGCGATTTCGAAAGATAATTATAATAAAAAGTTGAATATTTATTTCGTAGTACAAAAACCGGGCCAGAATCTCGTTTAAAAAATCATAATTATATCGAATCTTTATTAAAAATAATATAAATAAAATCGATATTTCGATGCCTCCAATGAACACTACTCTAACTCAAAATTTTGAAATTTTCGTTTTTCACGCAAATCGCTTCACTATTTTAAAAGTATTACAAATCATTATTGATGGGGTTCGAAGCAAGAGTAAATCAGCTAGTTACACCAAGAAAAACCATAAAAATATATCTGCAATAATAAAGATTTTATCAACTTTTTTCGTTTAAACGCTCCTCCTGTAAACCTACGAATTTAGAGTTAGCGTAGTGTTCATTGGAGGCATCGATTTGCGAAAGTTTTCGATACCTACATTATTTATCAATACATTTTAGCATTCCTTACAATCCCATTTAAATCCAATCACCACGAAATATCTCCAACTAACCGGTGTTATATAATACTTAAGAAATAAATTACATTACATTACAATTATTAAGTTCATAAATAATAAGTCTAAGTATGTATGTAATACATATATCTATGACTAGCCGTACTCGCCCGCTTTGCTGGGCATTTAAAATTAACATTATTATTTATTGTCATTATTATTAAGGAGTCCATCACTCATATAAATATTAGCCTATCCATTAAGTACATGTATTTTCTACATGGATACCAAGTTTCAATTCAATCGGACGCATGGTTCAGTAGGTAGTTGTAACGGAACATCCGTAAAAACCACTGTAGATTTAGAAAATTAAATTTAGTATAGACTATAGATTAGTATAGATGTACTCTAATTTCCTTATATAAAAGAGTGACAGATTTTTCTGTGAATGACACAAAATAGCTGGATGGGACTTGTCGGGTTTTCACAAAAACCCTTATAATAGGTAATATCCTATTAAATGGTTGTCAATGTGTTGAATCATCAAACAGACCTAATTGTTTATTATTTAATTGCGGCGAAGAAGATACGACCTCAACTTAATCAACGAGATTATATTCGTAATATCTCGATGAATTTAATGGTTTTTTATTTTATTGCGTAGGTGGGAGGATGAGGTCACGGCCCACCTGGTGTTAAATGGTTACTGGGGCCCATACATCGATCGTAGATCGTTAGATAGGCCCCCACTCGTGGCGGGATTGTCATTAGTTTCGCAGTTTTCGCACGTTAGGTAAGTCATCACTTGTCATAGAACAAATAGAATATTGATCAGAAGTGATAATCTTCTGATTTGTAAACTATATATACCTACACAGTACTGTAAGGAATCAGGTTAGGAAGAATGATAGAAAATAATAAAAAAATAAAATAATGAAATAAAATCACTTATTTAGAATACGTTAAATAATAATATAATATAAACAAAACAATCTTAGTGGTAGGGCCTCATGCGAGTCCGCACGGGTAGGTACCACCACCGCCACCCTGCCTATTTCTGCCGTGAAGCAGTAATGCGTTTCGGTTTGAAGGGTGGGGCAGCCGTTGTAACTATACTTGAGACCATAGAACTGATATCTCAAGGTGGGTGGCGCATTTACGTCGTAGATATCTATGGGCTCCAGTAACCACTTAACACCAGGTGGGCTGTGAGCTCATCCACCCATGTAAACAATAAAAAAAAAAAAACTGTGAGAAATTATTATGCACAGTAATTACTTAATCACTTTAATTACATCAAAGTCCGTTAAAACCAACCAATTTATAAAATTTTTGACGTTTTGTACATTCTGTTTTTTTATGTAAGTAATGAAGTCTGACTTTTATATAGTCATCAATGATTACTTTTATAATTAAAACTCTGTGGTTGAAAGTGGCTGGCTGTTCTCTAGAATGGTAATCTAATATTTGAAAAATATCGGTGGGTAAATATGACTTTAATATAAGTTACATACTACTTAATTCATTGACACCAGTAAAGTTGTGAGTTCCTTTT